AACAGTATCGTATCGAATATAAGTAGTATCGAATAACCAGATATCGACTCTCTATTGATGCGTATAAAGTGCGCGGCGTCGGAACACCGACTTTTTGCGCAGTTTCATTATAGGTGCCGTCCTGTAAGATCGTGTGCATGTATAACATTTAAATAGATTTATGACATTTCTAAATAACCATTTAAAATTATTTTGCTGTGAATTTAGAATTTTTTAAATACATATATAAATTTAATTTACGTTAATCAGTCGTAAGTTGTTGTCGTTGCTCATACACATTTAGACTTTGAAACGAGAACAAGAAGGTCGATTAAAGTTTTGAATATTTTTTTTACATATGGGTGTCGATATAAAACGCAATGCCCATAAATTTGGTTCTCAAAATAATCACCACCCTATTCGCGAAGAGATCAGAAAGGTTTCTGCCGAGAATCGTGTATTATTTTAAACTATACGGAAGTTGTCACAAGAGAATACTTCAGGGCCGTGGAGCAAAATGATGACACAAAAAAAAAAAAAATTATGTAAAGTCCAAAGTCTGAATTTCATGAAAACAATAACACACATGGAGCGGGAAAGTGTCGATTCATTTAAGAGTCTAACCAGCGAGTGTTTTATTCGAGACTCATTTTTCATTAATGATTTCACGTCATTTCGGATCCTCCCGATCCACTAACGGCGCTTTTAGGTACTTCAAGCACCGGTCATCGTTCTCCTCGAACCCGTCGCTTGCGACGAAGGGCTCGGCGAGTAAATTAACCCACAGACACAACCCACTGAGTTTCTCGCCGGATCTTCTCGGTGGGTCGCGTTTCTGATCCGATGGTAGATTCTACGAAGCACTGTTCTTGCTATGGTTCGTGTTAGCAACATCGTCAGGTTTGAGCCCCGTGAGCTCACCTACTAGTTAAGGTTACGCTGATATGGTCTCTCTAGACCATCAGCTTAAATAAATAATAATAATAATGATTTAATTGAATGGAGACCGCGCTTGGGCAAACGAACTGCAGGACGCTTTTAGGCTCGGTGGAGTGATGATGATTACTGTTTAGTATGTCTCAGTACAGTACAGTACAGAACAGTATTGTTTTCGTTCTATTCAATTATGTTAGTGTTTAAAAATTTATAACACCATTCCTATCGCTTCGTCGCTGGCCGCTGTCGGCAATGACCTCACGTGAATCACAAACCAAATTAACGTCTTCATGGCTCATTGTTTGGATATTTGGATAAATTAATGTCACCCGATTTATTTTCGACTATAAATTTAGTCGCAGAAGCAATTAATTGGTATGGCTTCAGTGTAGAAACGATTGGCGAAACAATTTTGGTAATGGGCATCTAATTTTAGATGGTTAGGATGTCTCTTGGATTTGTTTTATTTCATTAACGTTAACGACAAAAGAGTTTGTTTGCAGAATTTATTGCGTTGGAGATATAATACAATGCGGCTAAATTTTCTTGCGACAGGAAAGTTTGCAAAATTTTTTTTTTTTTTGCTTAGATGGTTGGACGATCTCACAGCCCACCTTGTGTTAAGTGGTTACTGGAGCCCATAGACATCTACAACGTAAACGCGCCACCCACCTCGAGATATAAGTTCTAAGATCTCAGTATAGTTACAACGGCTACTCCACCCTTCGAACCGAAACGCATTACTGCTTCACGGCGGAAATAGGCGGAGTGGTGGTACTTACCCGTGAGGACTCCCAAGAGGTCCTACCACAAGTGTATTTTCTTCGATATTCACGGGCGCTTGGGCAGCTGTTAGCAAATCCCACCCCTCCTGGCTGAGCCTTTGCTCGCTCACCTGTACTGGTGAAACTGGAAAGGCGTCCGGGCCACCAGTCATACTTCAATAAAAAACAAAAAAAAAATCTTTGTATTATTTATTATTTTCGACTTTTCTAAATTCGAATAGAAAGTTCGTTCACGTAAAGTCTAGAAATAAGTTTTATAAAAATATTGAGGGTAGTTAGCTCAATTTTCAAATGTCGACGAATACCAACCACGTTACTAGTTCGTGACCACGAAAACTGTAAAGGTAACGTCGGAAATAATATAATGACAATAAAAAACGTGATTTTAAATCGTAAAAGTTGTTTTAATTATTTCTACGAGTCGAAGAAACTTCTAATTTGATATAGGAAAATAGTAATTTAATATGTTTTTTAAAAATTCATAAAATTTATCCGAATGAATATGTAGTAAAATAGTTAATCCTATATGTAGGTCTAACTCAAAATACAAGTGTTATGTAACAGTTGTATTGTGATATTTTGTGTTATCTTTTTTGAATCAATTTAGACCTTTATTAGCTAATTCACCTTGATTTTCGTTTCTTGGAAAAATACTCATGAATATGAATTAAGTAAGTAATAATAATCGCCTTTTGTACGTTATTAAAATTGAGAAATAAACTTGAATTAAATTAAAGAAATGAATTTTTTTTTTTGCAAAGAACGCAAACCCGCAATCTAAAGAAAGTAGGCAGCGGCTTGGCTCTGTCCCTGGCATTGCTGAAGTCCATGGGCGACGGTAAACACTCACTATCACGTGGACCGTACGCTCGTATGTCTACAAGGGCAACAAAAAAAAGCATGTATTTTGCTTGTAAGACATATTTTATATCTTCTTTGCCAAATCCAAATAAACAAATACACATCACAACAGAGATATTCATTTGACAACAACGATATATAAAAATTACGTTATCAAATACAATAGTTTAATGCATAAATAAAGAAAGTTTATTTATTCATATTCTGTGCGCGTCGTTCATTCGATTTAGCTTAAAGTCTTTGGACATGTCATGTTATTGTTGGCACTTCTGGGAGCATATCTGGCATAGTACCAATGACGTAAGGTAGGTGGCGCGCTAGTCATTTTAACACATGCGGTATATTTCATAAATTTAACGATAGTAACACCGAAACATCGCCTATACTCGCTAGGAGATAATGTATGAGGAGAGACTAAATCATTGAGATCCTTCACTTGCGACGAAGGGCTCGGCGAGTAAATTAACCCACAGATACAGCACACTGAGCTTCTCGCCGGATCTTCTCAGTGGGTCGCGTTTCCGATCCGGAGGTAGATTCTGCGAAGCACGGCTCCTGCTAGGGCTCGTGTTAGCAACGTCGTCAGATCTGAGCCCCGTGAGCTCACCTACTAGTTAAGGTTACGCTGATATAGCCTCTCAAGGCTCTCAGCTTAGCTAGGAAAAAAAAAAGCGAAACATCGCCTATATTCACTAGGAGATAATGTATGAGGAGAGACTGAATCATTGAGATCCGATTATTAAGCGTATCTTTCACGATCCTATGACGTATTTGATAAATTAGTTTTACGGATTTGCTTGCGAACGTTTCACGCTATTTTTAGTTTATTCTTGAATTACGGCCGCTCTATTATAGATAGCGAGCCACAAGTTTTTCCTGATAGATAAGCAACACAATCGATACGGGAAAATTAAATTGGTTTTTGTTCAAAATCGCTAGAGGCCAATTGAACGCTAGTAAAAAACCAATCGAAAAGTAAGAACATTTAATTAAATTATCGATTATTATATTGGAATCACTAACGTAGTTTTATCATGCGTTGTCTCTGTGTGGCCTAGATTAGAACTACCAGATAGGTAGGCAGCGGCTTGGCTCTGCCCCTGGCATCGCTGAAGTCCATGGGTGACGGTAGCCACTCACCATAAGGTGGGCCGTATGCTCGTCTGCCTACAAGGGCAATAAAAAAAAATATCTCTGCCCGTGGATGTCGTAAAAGGCGTCTAAAGGATTCTCTGGAGAATAGATCGCAGCGTTTTCAGAGTATTATAGCAGCCTACTGCAATCGTCAACTGGCATTTATTAGTAAAGCGTTTTTTATTATTATTCTTGTAGACAGATGAACATACGGTCCACCGGATGGTGAGTGGTTACCGTCGCCCATAGACTTCAGCAATGCCAGTGGCAGAGCCAAGCCGCTGTCTACCGTTAAGTACTCTCCATAGGCCTCGTTTGAAGAAGGACATGCCAAGCGCTCGGGAAACACCGTGGAGGGGAGCTCATTCCAAAGGCGGATGGTACGTGGCAAAAAAGATCTCTTGAAACGCACTGTTGATGAACGCAGTGGCTCCAGGTGGTATGGATGAACTCTACTCCGGTGGCGGGCGGTGCGATAGTAAAAACGAAATGATGGGATCATCTCAAACAGTTGTGCATCTTGTCAGTTCGCACGGGAAGTTAGTAATACAATACAATTGAGATTACCACCTCATGTCTGTGGAGGTTTCTCAAAATCTGTGGACTCTGTGGGCTCCATGAAAACCGATCTAGCCAATATTTTTCTTTAAATAACATGTCTACGCCACTCACAGCGCGCGATGTCAATTATCGGCTATAATCTATGGTTACCTCGCCGTTCATTTTGACCTACCCTTCACACGAGTGCTCGTAGATATAAAACAATTTATTTATAGAACAAATTGAGTTCCCGTATTCGACATCAATCGTAAAAAGTTTTATCTGACGGCTAGTAGATACATAAAAAACAGATTTTTAGTGCCCAACGCACTTTTTTCTAGCAGACACTGAACGTAAATACGCAAGTAATAAATGATATTTTTAAGTTTATCGAGTTTAACGTATGATGGTAGTCTGATTCGTACGGAAATACGTGGTAGGAGTCTGATAATTCAGGTTCAGAGTGCAGGTTCAGTGTGCTTAGTGCGAGTTTTTTAACGCTCTCGATAGCGTAAAAGTTAACTCAAATTTGTATGTTGGAGAGGTTTGTGTCTCAAATACCTAATATAAATGGAATGAAATGAAAGTAGAGATAGAGAGTCTACATTATAGCCACACTAAATATTTTTAATTTAAATACCACAATATGGTTTTGGATAAATCACCTTTTTACTTATCAATGTGATTAGGTGAAATTGAATTGTGAATTGAAATTGTGAAACTTCGAAATTTAAATATTGAATTTTTTTATAATATTTGTTACAGCAAACCAGCCAGTATGCTGTCAGCTAAGCGAAGGTGTCTCTGTGGTGCTGCACCAGACGAACATCACGCGGCTCACAGCGCGAGCCCTACATGCGGCCGGCTACCACTTGCATATTATAGAGCATTTGTTAGTACAATTACTTTTACCTGTCCTGGTGAAACTAGCAAGACCTAAGAGCCAACAGTAATCCTTTATACCAAAAAAAAAAAAACTTTTACGTACTTAGATATGAGATTGTCAACAATAAAGAACCAGACACAAACAGGAATACAATAAAACAATTTATTTTGATCGATCCTAATAAATATAAAACATATTTCTTCATTATTTTAGTGAAATATGAAGTTATAATGAATTAAATTATAAGTTCTAACATATTTTCAAATCATCTCACATGTCGATTTTTAGTTTTTGTTCTATAACGAACCTATTGAACTTTTTGGCCCCAAATGACGTCATAAATAAGGTATTTGTGTAATACAAATTTTCTTAAAATTTGCGCGGAATTTTTGCCAGTGCCGGAATTAGTGAATAGTCCAGATTCCATATGAGTTTTCCTTTTCAGATCGATAATGGGCGCTCCTAAGCTAGAACACGTTGTTGTCGAAGACCTGATAAGGATGCCACGCCTTAAATCATTGTAAGTGAACCTTCATTCCTGAAATTTTGTTATTACTATATTGTAAATCGCTGGAGTAGACGGGTTCTCGAGTGGAGACCGCGCAACAGAAAACGTACCTAACGTGAGACGCCCCTTGGTAGGCAGGAGGTGGTTGAGGAGAAAGAAAGAGAGAGAGAGAGAGAGAGGACGAGGACCGGGCGCAGTGGTATGGATTGGGAGAGGTCTATATCCAGCAGTAGATGACTGTGGGTTGCTGATGATGATGATATTATAAATGGACCTTCCTTTTATTTCTTCGCTCACTCCCCTCTTAGAAATATCGTCTTGTGCGAAATCCATCCATTTCTTTTTAGGTCTATCTCTTCCTTTTAAAGCCTTCCTCCACATTCATAGTTAAAACTCTATTACCAACCTCATTGTCATTTCGTCTCATCACATGTCCATAACACCTCAAACGCGCGCTTCTCAACTTCTCTGTCACAGGTGCCACTTTAAGTCTTCTACTAACATATGCATTCCGTATTCTATCCATTATCGTTACTCCACACATCCATCGCAACGTTCGCATTTTTTGCTGCATGCAATCGCCTTTCATCCATGTGTGTGATATGTGTACTAAATATTCAATTTTAATTAATTTATTATACAAGAATCGTAATATGTATTGCCTATTTTTGCTGCAACTCAGTCAAGCGCTTCGGTTTGAAGCAGTAGCAGAGCCTGATGTAGTTACAAGAGATATATGTATCAACTTCGTGTTTTAAGACGGAGGGCGCCATTTAGGTACATTGAGCTGTACGTTCTCGTCTACTTAAAAACAATAAAAAAACTACATAGTATATTTGATTGATAATTGTTAATAAAAAGGAATAAGTTGATATGTTAATATTTCGTATTCTTGTTTTAGTTTCATAACCCAAGCGCCGTTATTACATCGCGTTGCCCCACTCCCCGCCTTGCCGGAGCTACGCACATTGTACGTATGTATTTTTTTATATTCCTTTTCGAGTAACTTTTGTTTTTAATAGCATAGATGGATGAAGTTAAGTGGTCACCGGAGTCCATAGACTCGCCAATCGCTGCCACCGTTCTTGAGACATTAGTACTAAATCCTCAGTTTTACAAAACAACAGTTGCTCCGACCTTCAAGCTGAAATGCATTCAGTAAGGAAGCAGTAAGTAGCAGTCTTCGCCACAGAAATAGTCGGGGTAGAGGTACCTACCCGTGCATGTTTACGTCCTACCACCTGTATAGTAAAAAAGTAGTAAAAACAATATAATAAACGTAACAAATGCGAAATTAAGCCGTAACAGTAGTTTTAATTTATTTCAATAATGAATGTCGCCCGATTTATTATCGGCTATAAATTTAGTCGTAGAGGCAATTAATTGGTACGGCTTCGGTATCACGGCGAAACAATTTTGTTGATGGGCAACTAATTTTAGATCGTTAGGCTGTGTCTTGGATTTGTTTTATTTCATTTTCGTTAACGGCAAAAGAGTTTGTTTGAAGAATTTATTGCGTTGGAGATATATTACAATGCGACTAAATTTGATTGCCGTGTAGGTCACCGGTGACCTACGCGGCGTACTAAAGCAATTATCTCGATTTCTGTTACTAAGCGCCTAGATTTCCTAACTTTGCCTTCTTTTGTTTGTTAATCTATACTAATATTATAAAGCTGAAGAATTTGTTTGTTTGAACGCGCTAATCTCAGGAAGTACTTGTCTGATTTGAAAAATTCTTTCAGTGTTAGATAGCCCATTTATCGAGGAAGGCTATAGGCTATATAACAGCACGCTAGGACCATTGCAAGCGGAGCACCAATAAAGAATGTTTTAAAATCGGGGTTTTAATCCCTTTTGAAAGTATCCACTGCGTGCGCTGCGGAAAGGGTTAAAGTTTCGCTAAAGTATAATGTATGAGAGTCTTCTCTGTATCTGTATCTGTCTAATGCATGAGAGTTTCTTTTGAAGTCTGTTAAAAAGCGTGACTTTTGTACCTTAAATAATTCTTTAACATTCTATTATCCAAAAATATTTTCACTTTCTACGTCACTGCCAAAGTAACAATTCCATGCGGACGAAGTCGCGGGCAAAAGCTAGTGTATTATATGTATTAGTCTTTTAAAAATAAGTCACTTAAAAATAAATTCATTCTCAGTATCTTCGGATTCCTCTTGCCCAGAGTCCACTAGATTTTCCGGCGCCTCAGTAACAGAAATCGACATATTTAATTCAGTGCGCCGTTTGATGACACAGCGTCATCGTAATTGCAAAAACAACTAGTTAAAATTTATAGTATTATGATGGCCATTTATAGTCGGTACAGGGGCGCCGATAAAGTGATTGCCTAGGGCGCTCTGGACCTTTAATCCGCCACTGCCACGAGCGACTGAAAACTGGACTAGTAATCAATGGACAATTCGTACTGGAGTAGTAATCAATGGACAATTCGTAGACTACATAGACAGTTCATCACGCATTCATCTTCAGCCTGTTTAATAGTGCATTTAATGATGTAGCATGATCACGACATCAGGATTGTTGGAGGTGCCGAACCTCAGCCATGTTCACGATAGCAGGAAGGCGAATACGTCGCTCTCCTACCTGCAAGCCATGTGAGTATGCTGACGTCACTAACTAACAAACTACTATTCGATTTTTAAAGTTATTACAGCTATTTTAGTGGCTGCTTCCAAAAAGGAAAATGTTCTCAATTCGATTGTATTAATTTTTTTCTTCGGAACTTTTTTCTAGAACTTTGCTAATGCTCCTCGTATACTCCAATTTAAAGGGAATGAAAATATGACCCAGTGATTTTTATGTATTATATTGATAAATTAATGTTTAATTGACTTAAACTACGATGAAATTCTCATTTTATTTTTAATCAAGTCGAATTTCTGATTCATTAAAATTTTATATATTTCCAATAATGGGTCTTCACAAAGATTAAACCAGCAGTGTTGCCCGTAAAAAAAATCTACAATAATAGGATAAATCCACAATAAAGGCGGGAACAACGACATCTCCGTCATACTACTTTAATAAATCATTTATCTAATTCGAAATTAACAATTTTTGTTTCTGTAGCGATCTAGAAGGGAACCACATAAAGACAATACCGTCGCACGCGCTGCGAGTGCGCGCCGATCAAGTGTAAGTCAATAGGTACATACCGAATTACGCTGTTTTATTTTAAATCCTTCTTGTGTTGAGTCTCAATAGGGCCCGTAGCTTAATTAACCATTAAACCCACCATTAATTACTTAACAAGTGAACTGCCATGTACGTCATCGGTGCCCTCCGTGGCGCACTGAAGTAATGTCTTTTTTTTACTTTCCTTTTTCCTACCCGTGCTGATAGCCTCGAGGGGCTATATCAACGTTACCCTAATCAGCGAGCGTGTAGGTGAACTCTCGGGGCTCAAGCCGGGTGTGTTGCTAACAGTAGCCCTAGCAAGAGCAGTGCTTCGCAGAATCCACCACCGGATCGGAAATGCGACCCACTGAGAAGATTCGGCGAGAAACTCAGTGGGCTGTGTCTATGGGTTAATTTACTCGTCGAGCCCTTCGTCGATCGGGATGATTCGTAATGACATGTTTAGGGCGACGTCGACTGTTTACCATTCAGTCCATAGGATCGAGTATGTCATTTCCGGTGGCCACGGTAAGAGGGTTTTCGTGTCGTGCCGCCTTCTCAAAGTGGCGCAATGATGCCGAAGTGTATATACTTACTGATTGAGTCAAGCTCCAGGTCATCATGGAGATAAAGTACTGTTGATTTCTGTTACTGAGCGCCTGGATCGCCTAACTTTACCTTCTTTTGTTTTAAAAGTATGTTTTAGACTTTTATGCCGCTTAGAAATAGATTCATTCTCAGCATCTTCGGATTCGTCTTTCCTAGAGTCTACTAGATATTCCGACGCCTTAGTATGAAGATCGCAGACAGAAACCGACATAATTACTTCAGCGCGTCGCGTAGGGCACTGGTGACCTACATAGCAGTCAACGTGCTTAATGGAATGCTTAATGGTACAATGGATACCATAGTTCATAAAAAGCTGTTTTTTGTACACTTTTTGCTTTAGATATTAATTCAGCGCTGTTGATAAGTGATGCTGGCGTGACGTAGTCTATTGCGTGCGCTCTGAAACCAGGCCGCTTTTAATCTCAGTTCGGACGACAGCAAATTTTGTCATATTTCGGTCAGATCGTACGTGAAACTGGAATATCCTCGACAGTCAAATAAAAACGGGATCGCGCAGACTTTTGAACGCATTTCACGTATCATATTTGAGGCCGTCACAGCACAAGTGTCCTAATCCTATTATAATTAGTATGTAGATAATGAGATTTAAATTTACTTTTACACTACTTCGTAGGCAAAAAGAATACGCGTAAAAATAAGGTTTACAAAGCCATCTGTTATCTATGGGTGAAACAGGGATAGGCTGGTTTTGCAAATTTATTAGATATATGTTTTAAATAAATTGCAATATAATATAAGCACGAATATGAAAAATTGCGGGTTAGGCCATTTTTGCGCGGACGGCCTCATTTCATAGACGATTATAGAAACACAAAAAAATTTAAACGTGTTCCTTGTAGAAGTATTAATTCTATTTGTTAGCGCATAGAGTCGAGAGTCGTCTGTTTTCTATTCGTAGGGCGGCAGCATTGGCGATGTTGATGGTGAGCTTTCAAAACAACTCACATTAGAATCAAAACACAATTTTTGTTGAAAGACAGAAAGCACTGCAAAAAGACAGTACTAAATTTTATATTTCTGAGTAAATCAGAATTCTCATGTATACTTATTATTTTCTTCGGTTTTAGCGGTTTCATAAACGCAATTAAATCGTAAGTTTTTAGGGATTTCGATATTAATTTTATACCAGATGAGCCGTGAACTATAGGCATGCAATAAAAATAACGGAAAGCACATCGGTAATCCTATCATTACGGTCTTATCCGTTAAATTAGTTTTAGGTGATTCACGTTTGATCCGGCCCTTTGGAGTCTGCCGTCGACCGATAAGGTTTGGTCACGATGCACGCACGTGCCCTGATGTGTGGAACCAATGATAAAGTATAAGTTTACACCTTTGATTCTTATCGGTCAATACATCGAAGAAACTACACGTGGTCGCACTGCAGCACGTATTTAGCTTACAACAAGCTGAATAAGAACTGTTTTCTGAAACAAAGAGTTTCTAGTTTCGCGGTTTTTAATACGCTTTTATTAGCTTCACACGTATGTATGTTTGTAACGGAATCTTTGAGCATGAGTTTGACCCCCCTCAAAACGTCGGATGAACTCGAAATTTGGTATACTTATTAAGGAACGATGACAATTCAATATTAAAAAATATATTGAAAAAATTGAAAATCAACTAAAAAATGAAAAATGAATAACAGTTTAAAAAAACTAACAAAATACGCTTTTATAGAAAAAAAAAGGGTTAGGTGCATGGTATCAGTAATTATAAATATTTTATGAACAGATATGAGTAGAAGGGTTATTTTGATAATATCCTGAAATGCACCTCACGCTTTTTTGCAATACAATTATTTTTTCTTACATTATTTTTAATTCAAATTTATTAAATTTTATTTTCTATTTTTAGTTGGATTTTCTATAAAAGCGTATTTTATTAGTTTTTTAAACTATTATTTATTAACACTAGAATTAAAATATCGGGATCGAAAAATCATACTAACATTGCACGTAATGTATTGCAATAAAAAATATGTAACGCGTAAGTTCAATGGCCTTGGAGGCACAGGCGAGATCGTGTTTTACAATGCGTCTAAAGGCTGTAAGTAGTTACCGGAGCCCATAGATTTCGGCTAGCGACATGAGATTAAAGTCTAAGCTGCATTACATAGCCGCTGCAACACTTTAAAATCAAGAACGCGCAATTAGGATTGTTTCGCGGCAGAAATAAACGCATGTCCACACTATCCAATAGGCCCTATCACCAGTGATTCCGCAAATTTTCAAGTTTTCCTGATTATTACTAAATTTACAGCTTTATTTATTTATTTATTTATTTATTGACATAAGTACTGCCGCATCACAAACATCTAACATTGAAAATAAATTTAAACTATTTAAATAAATTTAAACTATTTAACAGCTAATCGGTTGGGTAAATCAATGGAAATCGTTTTTCGTTTTTGCTATGGTACTTTTCGTACACGTGCGTCTTTGGGAACGGTCTCAAAGTCTCGTATTTATTTATTGGGACATTGCTTATTGAAGCAATAACTATTGAGTTATTTTTGGCTACGGGCCCACAGATAATATTGCGCGTTTCCCGCCAAAAAATTCCGCGTTTAGGTACCGCTTTTGTTTATTTCGGCCCGTCCGCTATGATTTTGTGTTTGACATTCATCCATCACAATCGAAGGCATTTCAAGAATTTCTTCTTTCAGTTCATTGAACTACAACCTGATCGAGGAAGTTCCGAAGCATGCCTTCAAAAACGCGCAAATTTCAAAACTGTAAGTTTACTTATGAATAGTACCCATTACAATATAATGCTTTTAATAATTTTATTGATCGCCTACACTGGCACTTTTTCTTTAACCACTTCAAAAAAAAGAAAAACCTCAAAATAGCGCTCACGTTCCCTTAAATTAGAGACGGATGATTTATGAGGTTTTGTAAAGTTGAAACAAAAATGACAATGCCACTACGAGTAAAACAAAGATTTGTAAATGGATATTATGCTGCTTATATTAAAATATTGTTACGCGTTTATTAAATATTATTACATATCATTTGATAGGAGCTTCAAAGGGAACACTAAGCTGAAACGCTTGGATGAGCATGCGTTTGCGGGAAATTTACTATTACGACAGCTGTAAGTATTATAGACAAAATAAAGAATTTTTATGTAATTAAAATACCCGAAACACTCATTCCACCTCATCGTACGTAAAAAAATCAATTTAGGTAAGTTTGTGTATCCCAAAACTTAAAATACTCAATCGAGTGAAACATTTGCCTAGAACATTGACTGTGTGTCATTTATGGATTCTAAATCAAACATATTTTGTTCGAATTCAATGTAACGCCAATGACGATTTCCCGCCCAATCATTCAGAAATATCTCGTTTTGTTTGTCCGTTATTGCGTGAAAGATCTTAAAAACAAATGATCACAATTCCGCATTTATAATACTGTAATAATATTGTTATCTGCGTCACATTTGTTTGTAACGTTGCTATTACCGTAAATAGCAAATGTTTTGGTTATTTGTGCAAAATTATATTTCGTACATGATTATAATTGATTTTAATGATCATTACATAAAATTCGTATTGAAAATTTAAATAGCGTTCAAAATAATTGACCTTTTTGGATTCGAGGACGGCCATTTTGATTCATGTAAAATGTGTTTATTCGTATAACCTCGGCGCCATTTTAGAATTGCGATTTGTCTTTCAGAGATTTAAGCAACACAGCCATTACCTCGCTACCCACTAAAGGTCTTGAGAAACTGCAAATACTCAGAATTGAAAGGACTCCATCACTGAAATACATACCATCGATTTACGAATTTCAGGTTTGTTTTCTTTTTGTTTATCTAATGTCAAATTTAAAACACCTTTTACTCCCGCGTTTATTACTGTCATTATATCGAGGAATAAAAGGTTGTTTGGTTTGTTTGGTCAAGCGACATTACAGGAGAGCCATTTAAATCTTAAAATTAAAAAAATATATATCACAAGAAAAAAACTTCTTCCACAATTTAAATGGAGTAAGCATAATAGAATTTCAATTAAAAAATCGAATTGTTAATGCTAATACCAAATAAAACGGACCTTTTATTAATAAATATAAATGTCGCGTATTAATCGAAATATCGCTTAAGTCAAATAGCTTTTCACACCACGTTAATATTTCCGAGGGCGCTAATAGCTAATACTCGTAGTTCGTCAGCCGTCAACACGCCCGATTAAATCTATTATTATCTATTGAATCTTAATTAAATCTACGACACCCGAAAAACGAGGAAAACATTATGTTCTAATGTCACTGATTATGTGGCTTCACGACCTTTTAGATCAGGGGTTCCCAAACTTATTTTGTCTACTGCCCATTTTGAGAGTAAATTATTTTTTTACGACTAAATTATTTCACCTACTTAAAGACCACTACAGCGAGAGCTCAGTCGGTTGCTAAGAGTCTTCCTAGATGAAATTACAAATCGCCTTCCTAGCCTCTAAACAACGCCCTCTTTTTTTTCTGGGTCTCTTATCGCCCCCTTTCGACTTGTAGCGCCCACAAGGGGGCGTTATCGCCCACTTTGAGAAAGGCTGTTTTAGATATTGGACAGGGCCTATAACGACTAGACATAGACTAAGACAGAGACTTGACAGGGATTCGAAAAGTAACAAAAGAAAAGAAATGGCACGAGGGCGGTCGTGACTTGCGTCAGGCGGTATTTTCAATGCCTTCCTAAAATACGTACACGAACCAGACGACAAAGACCGCAACCGACCATTCATATGTGTACAAAAAATATACGACAAACGAATGAATCGACCGTTCAGGGCCTAATTCATCAAGCAACTACTAACTATACTTAAGACCTTAGAACTTATATCTCAAGGTGGGCGGCGCATTTACGTCGTAAATGTCTATGGGCTCCAGTAACCACTTAGCACCAGGTGGGCTGTGAGCTCGTCCACTCACCTAGCAATAAAAAAAAAAAAAAGCACTTATCGCATAGTCGATCCCACGTCTCGAGATCGGTGGCGTAGTTTCGCTTGCCTAAGACGCCATCTTAGATAATATAATCGATCATAAGTCATAAGACCTCGGTCGGTGAGGCCGTGTTCGCAAGTGTTGAATCACTTGGATGCGTGTTCCGGTCACCGTTCTCGTCGAACCCGTCGCTTGCGACGAAGGGCTCGTCGAGTAAATTAACCCTCAGACACCGCCCACTGAGTTTCTCGCCGGATCTTCTCAGTGGGTCACGTTTCCGATCCGGCGGTAGATACTGCGAAGCACGGCTCTTGCTAGGGTTCGTGTTAGCAACGTCGTCAGGTTTGAGCCCCGTAAGCTCACCTACTAGTTAAGGTTCCGCTGAAATAGCCTCTCAAGGCTATCAGCATAGGTAGGAGAAAAAAAACAAAAAAAAATGTGTGTTTGTCTGTAACCACGAGCTCCGTGTGAACAGCTGCGCTTGTATTAACAGCAACTGGAGAAAGCGTACCTGACCCATCACTTCCACTGCTGCGCGTTCAAGTTCCCGGAGATACACAATCCCGCCAGACACAAATTATACGAGACACAGATGGCGATGATGATGCAGGTACTCCTCATTGTTTGTACTACGATTTTTTGATTGCCCTTATGGTGGTCGATGGTGAGTGGTTGTCGTCGCGCATGGGTGTTAGCAATGCCAGGGGGCAGAGCCAAGCTGCTGTCTACTGTAAATTACCTAAAGGTATGAAATAGATGGAGTCGTCGCGGCCTAAAGGATAAGACGCCCGGTTTTCTCGTATGGAACGATCCCAACAGATATCTAAAGCCGGTGCGCGAATCCCGCTGGCTGGTACCAAGTTTTCCAATGAAATGCGTACTTAACTCGTGTTCAGGATTGACTTCGCGACGAAAGAATAACATAGTGCAATCAAAATCAAATTTAAATTTATAAAGTTTAATCACTCGTGGTCAGTAGTATAGTAAGTCCGTACGGGCAGGTACCAGCGCTAGTGTCGAGAAGCATTCATAGTGTGTTCTATAGTCACTTGACCGCTCAACACCAGGTGGTTCAATATTTCTCAAATTTTCATCTAATTCTATGCAATATTATTAAGTTACCGTACGCTTTTAACCAATTAATCCTTATTCTGATACTATTTTTGTGTTATTAATTTCTTCGCGACAGAGATGTGCCAGTATACAAAAGTCGCAGGCTCGGAAGCGAAGGTCCTTGGAGCCGATCCGACCCGTCACGGACGGAGCGCAGACTGTCACGTAGGTACAATTTTTAATTAAAAAGTTTTTAGTATTTTTTTGCCGACTGTACTTTAATACAACTGAACTGTTATCTGTAGCAGTTCTTCTGCAGCTACATTTGTCGGTAACCGTACTCGATGACCGAGTTTCTCGCCGTATCTTCTCAGTGGGTCGCGTTTCCGATCCGGCAGTAGATTCAGCGAAGCACTGCTCTTGCTAGGGCCAGTGTTAGCAACACTCCCGGTTTGAGCCCCGTGAGCTCACCTACACGTCAAGGAGAAGCTGATATAGCCTCTCGAGGCTATCAGCATAGGTAGGAAAGGAAAAGGACGAACTCGGCACAGAGTTAGATGTGCAACTTAACCCACAGATCAGCTCACTGAGTTTCGCGCCGGATCTTCTCAGTGGATCGCGATTCCATTCCGCTGGTAGATTCAGCGAAGCACTACTCTTCTAGTAGATGTTAGCAAACTCTTCCACGAGCCCTGTGTGCTCAACCACTGATCAAGGTGAAGCCAGAATAGCTTCTCGATGCTACTGTCAAATTAGGTAGAGTTGAGTTATCTGTCTTATCTATTTACTCGTTGTTGTTATCTGTGATCTATTTATATCGTTATAAACCATAACAGAAGTATACCTTGAGTGGATTTGGTTTTTAGTAGGTATATCTGAAGCTCCAATTCGCCGATTTTAGCATTATCTGTTTGTTTTTTTCAACGGAACGATTACAGGACCGATAAGAAACAATTTTTTTTAGATTTTCTCTTATATTGTTTAACTTGGCCTGATCACTTTTTTTATTGCTTAGATGGGTGGACGAGCTCATAGCCACTTGGTGTTAAGTGGTTCCTGGAGCCCATAGACATATAAAATGCCCACCTTGAGATATAAGTATAATTATAAGTTCTAAGGCCTCAGTGTAGTTGCAACGGCTACCCCACCCTTCAAACCGAAACGCATTACTGCTTCACGGCAGAAATATGCAGGGTGGTCGTTCCTACCCGTGCAGACTCACAGGATGTCCTACCACCAGTAATTACGCAAATTATAATTTTGCGGGTTTCATTTTTATTACACGACGTTATTCCTTCACCGTGGAAGTCATTCGTAAGCATTTGTCAAGTACGTATTTAATTAGAAAAGTTAGTATCTGCTTGCGGGATTCAAACACAGTTTCTGCGCTTGATACGAATGCACCAGGCGTCTTATCTTTTAGGCCACGAAGATTACTCTAGGGATCTTATGTGCCACTTAGAATTCCTTACTCATTAGTCTAGTTAGTTCTTACACACTGATGAAATACCGTGTTATGCGCCCGTACTGCTAATATATTGTATCACCTTTCTACCTATTTCAAACGTAAGCAATCATACATTTACTGCATGATTGCATTTACTGGTGGTAGGGCCTCTTGTGAGTCCGCACGGGTAGGTACCACCACTCCGCCCATTTCTGCCGTGAAGCAGTAATGAGTTTCGGTTTGAAGGGTGGGGCAGTCGTTGTACTGTAAAAACTGAGACCTTAGAACTCATATAGTTTAAAAAAACTAACAAAACTAAAAAAAAGAACGCTTTTATAGAAAATCCAACTAAAAATAGAAAATAAATTTTAATATATTAGAATTAAAAATAGTGTAAGAAAAAAATATTTTATATTTTAAAAAAGCGTAGGGTGCATGGTATTAGTAATTATAAATATTTTATGAACAAATATGAGTAGAAGGGTTATTTTGATAATATCCTGAAAAACACTCCACGCTTTTTTACAATACAATCATTTTTTCTTACACTATTTTTAATTCAAATTTATTTTCTATTTTTTAGTTGGATTTTATATAAAAGCGTGTTTTTTAGTCATATTATGTAGTCATGTTTTAAACCGCATTAGATCTTTTCACATTTCAGTGCATTAGAAGATGATGATGCATCTACAATGACTGCTAGCGAAGAATATGAAAACTTCGAAGAGTACTTCTCGGACTCTGGCAGTTTCGAAGATGACGATCAAGGAGAATTCCACGACATTGTCAATGACACTGTCGTGTCGATATCTGCTGACTGTGGCAATTTCAACACAAGGTGAATGTCGCACACCACAGCCCGTAATGCGGCATATGTCAATAGGTTTCGTCAAGCCGAAAAGATGCAATCTGTTAAGGTAAAAAATGTTATTCGAGATACTCACGGACCGGTAGGTGAGCTCACGGACTCTACCTGAGTTCAATAGAGTTTTGCTCTCTTATAAACAATACCGGATTGGTTAGTGATAGTGTTAAATGTTTTAAATATTTAATATGTATTTGTATAAATATGATATGTAGCGTCATTTGAAAACTGTATTAATGTAATAGCAAGGTACCGAGTGTACTTGGGAAAACGCGATTATCTTGTAATTCGATTCCAAAGTAGATACTAGGACTTCGAGGTTTTTAGCAGCATTATGTATTTATCTTGTGTAACAGAATGACTTACACGATGAGGGATCAAAATCGTAAAATAAAACTGAATCCGTGAAACTTCAAGTGATTAATGTACACGTTTAGAGATGTCGATCTATGGGGTTGGTACTATTAACATGTATTATCACTATCCTTCGTCGCTTAACCCTTTGACTGATATGTAGGTCACCGATGCCCTACATGGTGGACTGAAGTAATTGTGTCGATTTCTCTATATCGATATTTTTACTAAGGCGCTGAAAAATCTAGTATGGGAACCCTGGGAAAGACGAATCCGAAGACAGTAAGAATGAATCGTATTTCTAAGAGACCTAAAAATTTATAACATACATTAACAAACAAAAGAAGGCAAAGTTAGGTTAATCCAGATAATGCTTAGTAACAGAAATCGACTTCAATGCGCCACGTAGGGCACCGGTGCTTAAATGGCAATCAAAGGGTTAAAATCATATTATTATATCATACTAGATATACTTTTCAGGAAAATCATTAAACTAACTCACTTTTTGCACGAAGGCCGCACTCAGACAGTATTTGGCATTTGATTTTAGAAACCGGAACGTGGAATGCACTCCAGCATCCGACGCCCTGAACCCGTGCGAGGACGTGATGGGCTGGTCGTGGCTGCGGGCGAGCGTGTGGGTGGTGGTGGCGGCCGCGGTGGTGGGGAACGTGGCCGTGCTCCTCGTGCTCCTCACCAACCACACGGAGCTCACCGTCCCGCGGTTCCTCATGTGCAACCTCGCCTTCTCCGATCTCTGCACGGGACTGTACCTCCTCATGCTGGCCGTCGTCGACTTGAGGTCCTACGGGGAGTTCTTCAACTACGCCTACAACTGGCAGTACGGCGTCGGCTGTAAGATAGCCGGTTTCTTGTCAGTCTTCTCCGGGCAACTCTCGGTCATTACCTTGACGATCGTCACGTTGGAAAGGTGGTTCGCGATCACGTACGCCATTTATTTGGAAAGAAGGATTTCTTTGTCGACAGCAGCGAAAATTATGCTCGGAGGGTGGCTGTTCTCTTCGTTAATGGCGGGGCTGCCGTTGCTCGGAGTCTCTGACTATTCATCGACTTCGATTTGTTTGCCGGTCGAGAGTAAAGACATAGGGGACGTGATTTATCAAGGATCTTTGTTCCTGACCAACGCGTTGGCGTGGGTCACGATTGTCGTGTGCTACGTCCAGATCTACCGATCGTTGGGCGGTGGGGGGGAGAATTATGGGGGGAGGCGAGCCGCTGCGGCTGCTGAGCGGCGGATAGCCAACAAAATGGCTCTGCTCATAGGCACAGATTTGCTTTGCTGGGCGCCCGTCGCCTTCTTCGGGGTCACAGCCCTGGCGGGAGTGCCACTGGTCGACGTCAGTCACGGGAAAGTTTTATTAGTCTTCTTTTACCCGCTGAACGCTTGCGCCAATCCGTTCTTGTACGCGATCCTGACAAAGCAGTACCGGCGGGACTTCATAACGCTGGTAGCGAGGACGGGTCAATGTAACTGGTTGGTCGAGAAGTACAAGCTATCGACGACCCCCCCTCCGACCGCGCACACCAACCCCTCGACGCCGGCACAGCTGATGCCCCTGGTAGACCAGAAGAATCATTCGCAAGTCAGTAAAGAGTTTAGCGATTTTAAAGCGTAAGCGATAGTTTTGTAAGTGACATTATAATATAAGGACGTATTTATGACTACTCGAAGTTTTATTGAACCTAATTTAAAAATCTTCTATATATATAAAAATGAATTGCTGTCCGTTAATCTCGCTAAACCTCGAGAATGTCTGAACCGATTTGGCTAATTTTGGTCTTAAATTACTTGTGGAAGTCCAGAGAAGGTTTAAAAGGTAGATAAATATGAAAATGCTCGGAATTAAATAAAAATGACAATTTGGTTTTTCCTTTGATGTGCCCCCCGTCGGACGGATTCCTTTTGTTTGTTTTAAGTTTATTTTATACAAAAGCTTAGGTATTATATTTATCGATTGAAGCACTACGAAGTTTGCCGGGTCAGCTAGTAAAAAATAAGAAAACGTGGCTTTAGAGTTTTAGCCCTGTATTAATATTTAAGGATTGGGCTTTCTGACCATACTTGCATTTACAAAGACAGTGAGTTTATTTAAATACCTATATATGAAACTGCTATACTAATTGCTAGGTATACTTATGCATCGTCCAAACTTAAAAGCAGTTAGTTACCTAGCATCCGGATTTAATCTAAATAATTTTAAATATCACCATTGTTCACCAAATAAAACCCGCAAAATTCTAATTTGCGTAATTACTGGTCGTCTTGTGAGTCCGCAAGGGAAAGTACCATCCTGCCTATTTCTGCCGTGAAGCAGTAATGCGTTTCGGTTTGAAGGGTAAGGCAGCCGTTGTAGTGTTAAAAGTGAGACCTTAGAACTCATATCCAAAAGTGGGCCGCGCCATTTACGTTGTAGATGTCTATGGGCTCCGATAACCACTTAAGTGGGCCGTGAGCTCATCCACCCACCTATGCAATAAATAAATAAAAAGTGGGCACCTTACGACGAGCGTTATGACGAGAGTATGCCCATCTAATGGTGAGTCAACTTCGCTTGTGGACGTCAGAAATGCCAGAGGGATAGCCAAGCCCTTGCCTACCGTAGAGGAGTTTCCTCAAACCACGTTTGAGGAAGCACATATCATAGCTCAGGGTACACCTTGGACGAAAGTTCATTCAACCGGATTGAACCTAGCACAAAAGTCTCTGGATATGCACTATGAATGAACGCAGCGGTTCAATACGTATATAATAATATATACTCCGATACTAAACACGGTTCGAAACATCAACCTTAAGGGTTCTAATACTATCCTCAGATTTTAAATACGACAAAATAGGAGCAAACAACATTTCGTCGTATAAAAACGAAGATTTATATTTTTACGCAAATGCATAATCATAAAGCTATAATTGATTTAAAAAAAAAATTAATACGATTGTGAACCTACCTTAGGTATCGATTTGTAGCGAGTGTTCAGAACCTAACTGGTGGTAGGACCTCTTGTGAATCCGCACGGGTAGGTACCACCACCCTGCCTATTTCTGCCGTGAGCAGTAATGCGTTTCGGCTTGAAGGGTGGGGCAGCCGTTGTAACTATACTTGAGACCTTACAACTTATATCAAGATGGATGGCGCATTTACGTTGTAGATGTCTATGGGCTCCAGTGACCACTTAACACCAGGTGGGCTGTGAGCTCGTCCACGCATCTAAGCAATAAAAAAAAAAACCTAAGCCTATTGTCCTATCTAAATCCACCACTACTCAGAGATTGCAGAGCCGCTACTCCTTAGAAATAGACTTTAGAAAGTGGTAACTGGTAGCCTGAATGAAACCCGTTAACGATGTAAGAATGAGAATGTGCATTGTATTAAATAGTGGTTGGTTGATATGTACATCGGGGTGTTAATAAAAGGTAAATAAATAAAAATTAAAGTCATACAATTACAATATGCTATATAAATATAATTTTGTACATAAAAAATTACACAACTAAAAAAACATGAGCATTCTCATCTAAACTGGCTAAAGAATTACTATCGATATATTCAATGAGCAATCGGTCACCTTCTAACAATATTTCTTTGTTTACCAACTCATTAATTTCAATATCCATCGCTGTGGGGCTTATACAATAGCCATCTAGTTGCCTGAACAGTCTTAGCTTGATATTTCCTATTTTATTGTTATCATTTCTTATATTACATGTCTCACAAATACAATCAATAGCCCGGCCTAAGCTCCATTTAGTGCTAATAAAAACTGGGACTGTATCTTTTAAGTCTGGTTCTAATACTAAAGTTCCTAGTTTAATTAGATGGTCCTCGTCTTGTAATATTTTTAGCGGTTTGGCGTCCATGTTGGTGGGTTTCTTAATGGCGAAGTATACTCGGTCTGATGGTGGAATGCTTTTCGGGCCGGAGGCTTTCTGTTTTATTCTCATCAAGTGTATTTTCGATGCCGTTTTCACTTTTGCTGACGATTGTAGTGCTTTACGTATGTTTTCTGTTATCTGAGAATAGATGTTAAAAGCTGATTACATTTATAAATAATAATAGAAAATAAAAAAGTCTGTGATATGTTTCACGTGTACAGTATTTCAGAGTACCTATAGAGGCCACAAAATAAATGCACCTTAACCTAAAGTTGAGGTTTAGAAACAATGTCAACTTGTTCCTACTACCAGCAAATTTAAATAACAGCTTCTTTTGTGGGAACTTAAGATGATTCTGGATGATTAGCAGCCACATTATCATAATTGTGAAATTAAATATCTTTTGGTATAAATCCTTAAATTGATACAAAAAAAATCATGTCTGTTTTTTTTTTTTTTATTGCCCTTGTAGACAGACAAGCGTACGGCCCACCTGATGGTGTGTGGTTACCGTCGCCCATGGACTTCAGCAATGCCAGGGGCAGAGCCAAGCCGCTGCCTACCGCTTAATACTCTCCATAAGCCTCGTTTGAAGAAGGACATGTCATAGCGCTCAGGAAACATTGTGGAGGGCAGCTCATTCCATAGCCGGATGGTACGTGGCAAAAAATACCTCTGGAAACGCACTGTGGATGACTGCAGTGGCTCCAGGTAGTATGGATGAACTCTACTCTGGTGGCGGGCGGTGCGATGGTAAAAACGAGATGCCGGTATCATCTCGAACAATTCCTCAGAGCACTCCCCATGGAACATACGGTACAAAATACAGAGGGAACCGAACTCCCTCCGCAGATCCAGAGGTTCCAAACGATCCGTGAGAATGGGATTATCGACAATCCGAACAGCCCTCCTCTGTATGTGTCGACTTTGAGATACTACTTATAATTAATAAATATATTAGTTATAACTTGAACCGTGTCAGAAGGTGAAGATTTATTTTATTAAGCTCCTAAGTCAAACTGTCAGTGACTCTAAACATACCATTCCTTGTAAATGTTTGTTTGCTTCCCTAAATTGTCTTTTTGGTGCTTCAAATTGTTCTATTTTTGCAGCCAGAGTCTCATCATCTATTTCTGGACATGAACTGAAAAACATGCAATTTTAATGGGTTGCTTTAAACTTTCAAAAACACTGATCAATCCAACAATACTGTTCTTAGGAGATAGATGCAATAAATTATGTGTCTTCATCTTGTGAGATATTAGTCTTGTTTGTATTTCTTATTCTTCAAATAGCAACATATGATTGTTGAATGTAAAAATAGGCAGGATCGTTGTACTGATGTGTGTGGGTTCTCAGTGTGCTCTACAACAAGTAAAACTGAAAATAGTTCTGATCATCAGAAATTATAAAATAATGTGATTTTTTAAACTCAAACTTGCAGAAAAAGTGATAGTGATACCTGATAAATTGAGACTTTAGAATGAATCAATAACCTAGTAGCCCATTTTACACATTAACTGTCATGGATCGCCGGTGATCAACTCTCAACTTAGCTAATACACACTCAAGGCAAAGAAAAGATTAATCAAATCAATCAGAACATTGCGTCACCACTTTTTAAGTAAGATCTCTTTGGTCCTAAAGTGCTGTGGAGGTCACCAGTGACCACAAAATGCTTCAAGCATGATTTTGTGATTCACTTTATTTTCTGCAAGCAACAATCCAACATAAAAAGTTCACATTGGCACCTTGTGCAAAACATGCAAAATATATCAGGCAGTGAATTTGATAAAATAACTAACTATTTATTTCATAATGATCTTTCGACTGTAGAAGTGTTAATTTAGCAATGTTATGTTGTGCCTACAATGCAATGTACAATGCAATGTACAGCACAATGTATATCGTTTCGTAGTATTCACGTGCGATCCGTGAAAATTGCGTTTTTTTATTTGAATCGTCTATTATCAAAGGTGGCAATCTGTGCATTTGGTTGGCAAAAAAATGTTATTGATATGTCAATACAGATTGATTTGAATATAATCGTCTCCTACAAAGAATACGGTTCAAAACCTGCATTTAATAAAGGTTAATACTTAACCTGTTATTTATCTAAGATGTCGTTCAGAAGAGTTTTGTGACTGCCAATGGAATACAAAGTCAATAATTCGTTTTTCTGATTTACCAATAATTGTCCAAAAGTCACATTGCCGGCTTTGATAATAGTCGACTCATTTAACACAGGCATTCAAGCAACACCTTATACGAACTACATAAAAACTTACGGGTGAAACCTATGTACTACACGAACGAACTACATATAAACTTACGGGTGAAACCTATGTTCTACACAAAAATGTTTATTACATTTAGAACAGATCATCTCATGAACGTTTCCTTTATTGCAACTTTTTTCGGAGCATTTGAAAATTTGGTCGTCTTTCTTTAAATTAACTTCTTTAGGTTGCGGTGCTAATTCACATTCTCCGGACAGGCAGTGAGTGTTGAAATGTTCTCTGCAAAAAACTTTTGCACATTTGCACTGTAATGGCAAGAAGTCTGTTTGGTTGCAGCCAGGATATTGGCAATTTTCACCAAGCGTTGGAAATTCCATTTTATTCAAAACGATTCACACAACTTTGATTTGTTTCTTCTGTTGCTGAATTTTGTTTATTTGAAAATCACTGAAACTTCTAATTGTGATGTAAAATCATTTTTTCTATATTTCCATATATTAGGAGGTTATGTTTTTGTGATTCTCAATTTCATGATTATCATATCATCATTGTCAATTGTCATCTACTGTCAGATATTAAGTATATAATCTATGCTGAAAGTAAGCTGCCACACAAAGATGTCTCTGGGCTTTTTGGTCGAAGCACGAGGTAAAGGTTGTTTTAATTGTCAAGTTTAATTTCATATTATTCAGGTTCAAACGTGTAATAAAGATGGCTAAGTAATCTCTCAGCATCTGTAAAAGTACGAAGTGTGCGAAACAAAAACTCCGAATGCGGTTTTTTAGATTCTCCAAAAAAGTATACTGAACTCTCACAAAATTCCCTGAATTTTCCTGGGACCCATTTAATTTCATTTCGTATCGTTTTAATCAATTTGATTTAATACCCGATAAATCCACTCAATATGGCTAACAATTCAAGGAGTATTCCATTTTTCGCTTATCGTGGCTCTGTGGGTGTATAGCGATAATCGGGTATGTTTTATAAAATAAATAAAATATTTGCAGAATGCATAATTTATTAGATAAAAAATTAAAGATAACTGATTATTTAATGTAACAATAAGTATTGGTTTCATAATCACAGTTTCTTTTACAATTAATAAAAAAACTTCTTGTAGCATAAATATACATTCAAAACCATATTATACATAAAAAACAAGCTGAATAAACGTGTAAAAATGTAAAGTATAATGTGCTACATAAATATATACATTAAAATAATAAATCCTAACCTTTCAGCGGGTCGACATTATTCCTAGGCAACATAACATAAGTAGCATTTGTAACCTTAGGTCTATCTATATTTTTCAAAATGTTACTTCCATGTTAAAATTCTCTATGGTTAGTCTATATACGTGTTTGTAATTACATTAGTTTTAATGTTTCGATGGCGGACAGTAGCTTCTCGATCTCGCCCTGAGATTGAGCCAGTTTCTCGGTGTTGATCTTTTGCACTTCAACCGGCACTTTTGTGGTATAATCTTCTGCAGTCATCGCCTGTTGAAGCTTGTTGATTGTTTGCAAAAGAGTTTCCTTCTTCTTTTCCAATTTTGTTATTTCCTTTTGCGGGTCTATAAGGCCCTGTTTGATAAAATAATATACGTAAATCACTAATTTCGAACAAAATCTACTGATAAAATCTACTGATTGTGCTAAATAAAAATGAAATGTAATTAAAATTGTCATCAGTACTTTTTAATCTATATTATATTATGGCAAAATTTCTAGATTATCTATGGCATTCCTTTTGACTGAATTTAGTTTTAATTAATTACAAGAAATGAGCAAGTAGTGTGATTAGTGATAATCTGATCCAATAGTCAATCCGAAATATAAAATATTATTTTAGGAGAATTATAGTTTTTTTTTCCTTTACTCTAAAGATATGATTAAAGGTAGACAGTGACATGGCTCTGTTGTATTTATTGACTATGCCAATAAATCCTAATAATTCCTTTTTTTTTGGATTGAAGGATTACTGGTGGCCCAGAGGCCTTTCCAGTTTCATAAGGACAGGTGGGTGAGCAAGGGCTCAGCCAAGAGGGGTGAGAATTGCTAACAGCCGCCCGAGCGCTTCCGAAGGAGACCTAAACAACTCAAGAGCAGCTGCTTCGCGAATAAATCTACTACCGGATCGGAATGGCGACCCGCTGAGAAGATCCAGCGAGAAACTCAGCGGGCTGATGTATGGGTTAGGTTGCATGACGAACTCTTTGTCGAGTTCAACAGGATCCTTTCTGTGCAGTAAAATATAAGTGTAAAACTTACTTTCAACACCAAATGTAATTCGATCTTGTCCGATACAGTCAATATAGCACATCCTATAGGTGGAGCATCTTCGCTCAGTTCACTGTTGGCCAGAGACTGCAGACTCTTGAAGATCCCTCTCAGGTCGGCGGCGTCCAGTTCCGGGGACACGATGAGGTGTACTGTCGTCTTCTGTTTGTTGGTCAGGTTGTATTCGACGCGAGTCGAACGGATCAAGTGAACCATTTTGAGTACCGTGTCCACTGTCGATTCTAGTTCCTGCGAACGCCACGGCGTATCCGGATCCTGGGAATTTATTTGTATATTTTCATTTTGACAATTAAACTTTCCTATGTCACTACATGAGGTCAAAGTATTAATAGGGTTTATTTATTACAAAGTATTAATTTCTTTTATATTAAGTCTTTAATTTGTCATATAAGGACAAATAAATATCTCAAAACAATAAAAACAGTCCACGCTCAATTATCACAACGCAACATCGGCTGGAAAACGCAATAACTACGATTCGCCTTTTTTTAGAAATATTCAACATCTCAGATTGTTACAGCCAACACCTTTTCTCGCTTTGATTAAGTTTAAAAAAACATGTACATATTAGGGCGATTTAGATTTCTTTAAACATACTTATGACCGTTGAATTGACTCTAAGGTGTATAAGTGATCAGAGCTTTCAGTTTTTTTTATTGCTTAAATGGGTGGACGAGCTCACGTCCACCTGGTGTTAAGTGGTTACTGGAGCCCATAGACATCTACAACGTAAATGCGCTAGCCACCTTGAGATATAAGTTCTAAGATCTCAATATAGTTACAACAGCTGCCCCACCCTTACAAATCGAAACGCATTACTGCTTCACGGCAAGCTAGTCTAGCTAGCACGTCTAGCTTGGTTAGCTTAGCTTAGTTTTACGAGAGCGTCTCGGCTTACCGTCGGATAGTCCGCGACGCAGACGGAGGGGCAGCTCCGGTCCCTCCGCGGCAGCCGCTGGAACAGCTCCTCGGTCACGAACGGCATGAACGGACTGAGCAGCTTCAGGCCGTACTCCAACGTAGTGTATAGGGTGCGACGGGCGCGAGACTTCTCCTCCTCGCTGCCCAACGCGAACACCGGCTTCAGATATTCCTGGACACATTGCATAGATCCTCAAGGCAAGCTCTCTGTGAGCGAGCGGTCACGGGTAGAGAGAGAGAGAGAGAGAGAAGGAGAGAGAGATATAGGCGGAGAGAGAGAGAAGGAGAGAGGGAGAGATAGGCGGAGAGAGAGAGAGAGAGAGAGAGAGAGAGAGAGAGAGAGAGAGAGAGGGGGAGAGAGAGAGAGAGAGAGAGAGAGAGAGAGAGAGAGAGAGATAGGGGGAGAGAGAGAGAAGATTTGAATCGAAACACATTCGTTGCCTGACTTAGGAAGAGTGAAAACGTCTCGGAACTGTCGTTGTTCCGTGCTGCGCATCTCTTTGCACAACTGCCTACCATACGCCTCCTATGTCAAAAAATAATGAAGACTAGTGGTAACGCAGTAGTCGAAATTCGACTATAATGAATTGAAATTATAAGTTTGAACATTATGGTTCAATTGTCAAGTACTTATTATACTTCTATAATCACAGATTTCACCAAGACTACTGTAGACAAATAATATATTATTATAGATAAACAATATTTAATCTATTCTCAATTTGACCACAGACTTTAAGCGATAAGAAAAGTTTGAAATAAACACAGAGTATACGTGTGTGTGTATGTCAAATATATGGTAGTGTGTGTAATGTTTTTTTATTGATTTAACGTACTATTAATGCACTCCTCTATATTCTCTATAAGTGTGGGAAATGTCATACTCCTCCGTCCGCGCAATTTTCGTAAAAATGGGTATAAAGTTTTTGCTTCACGTATTAATATATAGATACCGGCCGATTCTGCGACACATATACATTTAACAATTGTTTGCATTGTCGTTTGTGCCTACAATTAAGGCGATGTCGTGTATGTTGGCACTGAGCGCTGTGTACATGTCTACATCGGCCGGGACTCACCAAGTAGACATCGCACAGGTCGTGGAGCCACAGGTTGTAGCAGTGCGTGGTCGCCGCCGGGAACTCGTAGGCCGCGAAGCCGCCGTTCACTCTCTGGACCGCGAGCGCGAGCTTGGACAGCATCCAACGGTCCATGCGCGACAAGTCCGCGGGTAGATCGGGCCCGTGCACCTGTTGGTTAATTTAACTATTAAATAAATATCGAACAGACTTTATTTTATTTTATTGCTTAGATGGATGGACGAGCTCACAAGCCCATAGAGATCTACAACGTAAATGCTCCACCCACCTTGAAATATAAGTTCTAAGGTCTCAGTATAGTTACAACGGCTGCCCTACCCTTCAAACCGAAACGCATTACTGCTTCACGGCAGAAATAGGCAGGGTTGTGGTAGGTAGTACCTACCGCACGGGTAGGTACCTACTAGGTACCTACCCGTGCGGACTCACAAAAGGTGCTACCACCAGTAATTACATAAATTATAATTTTGCGGGTTTGATTTTTATTACACGATGTTATTCCTTCACCGTGGAAGTCAATCGTGAACATTTGTTAAGTACAGATTTCATTAGAAAAATTGGTACCCGCCTGAGGGATTCGAACACCGGTGCATCGCTCAACAAGAATCTTATCCTTATCTTATCCTTTAGGTCACGACGACTTCTTTGTAGCCCGATGGACGTGACGTCTGACGTGCTCATAGCGACGCAACCGTGGTTCGAATACAGAGGTCTGCGTGCTTAGTGCGAGTTTTTTAATGTTCTCGACAGCGTAAAAGTTAGCCAATATTTGGTATAATTAACTTTATTCTATTCACATTCCATTCCCATGACATCATTTAAAAGTGACGCTATATTTTACTATTACTGGGGGAATTCCCGAAAGGTATTTTGTTCTTGAAAATATAATTTTCTGCGGCCCTCCGGCTTTTGTAGTAAATTTAATTAGTCTGCAAAGGTATGTATTTTGGATAGTCCTATCTTAAAATAATATTAAAATCGATATTTGTATTTAAAAAGAAGTGTTAGAATTCTAAGATCATACTCACTTCGTACGTGGAGTCCTTCGGGAAATACATGAGGGCGAATTTGGTCGCGTTCCAGAGTTTGTTGCAGAAGAACCGGTAGCCCTGCACGCGCTGGATGTCCAGGTTGAGGTCGCGGCCCTGGGTCATCGCGCACAGAGCGAACCTGCCAGGGGATTCTCGTCTTAATTACCCTTAACTTTTGATTGCATTTCGTATAACAATTAGCCATTTCGATAAAGCGGCACGACACGAGAACCCTCTCATCGTGGCCGCCGGAAATTACCTACCCGATCCTGTGAACCGAATGGTAAACAGTCGACGTCGCCCTAAACACGTCATTACGGATCCTCCCGATCCATTAACGGTGCTTTTAGGTACCACAAGCACCGGTCACCGCCCTAGTCAAAACAGTCGCTTGCGACGAAGGGCTCGACGAGTAAATTAACCCACAGACACGGCCCACTGAGTTCCTCGCCGGATCTTCTCAGTGGGTCGCTAGGGCCAGTGTTAGCAACACTCCCGGTTTGGGTCCCGTGAGCTCACCTACACGTCAAGGAGAAGCTGAAATAGCCTCTCAAGGCTATCAGCGAGGGAAAAAAGGGGGGAATTAATGAATAAGTGAACAAGCAGTCGACGGTACCTGAGCGCGTCGGTGCCGCACTCCGGGATGCCGTTGGGATAGTCCTGCTTCTGTCCTTGCTTCGCCTTCTCCACTTCCCGCGGGTCCAAGTTCGAGTCTTCCAGTTGGCGGTGCAACTCCTCGAGGGTGACTCCTCGCACCACGTCCACCGGGTCGATGACGTTGCCCAGCGACTTGGACATCTTCCGGCCGTGAGCGTCGCGGACCATCGGGTGGAGGTATACCTCTCTGGTGGTTCGAAGATTATGTGGTGGATACATGGTTTATGGGTCGCATTAAAGGTATAAATATGATGATTCATATGATTTAAAAAAATACATCAGATTTTTTTTGCCCTTGTAGGCAGACGAGCTTACGGCCTATCTGATGGTGAGTGGTTATCGTCGCCCATGGACTTCAGCAATGCTAGGGCCAGCGCCAAGCCGCTGCCTACCGTTAAGAGTAGGGAGTAGCCGTTGTAATTTTGAGACCTAAGAACTTATATCTCAAGATGGGTGGCGCATTTACGTTGTAGATGTCTATGGGCTCCAGTAACTACTTAACACCAGGCTGTGAGCTCGTCCACCCATCTAAGCAATAAAAAATAAAAAAGTACTCTCTACAAGCCTCGTTTGAAGAAGGACATGTCATAGCGCTCGGGAAACACCGTGGAGAGGAGCTCATTCCATAGCCGGATTGTACGTGGCAAAAATGATCTCTGGAAATGCACTGTGGATGAACGCAGTGGCTTCAGGTAGTATGGATTATCTCTACTCCGGTGACGGGCGGTGCGATGATAAAAACGAAATGATCATCTCAAACAATTTCTCAGCTGACTACTCAGCTGATACTTGTCTGTCTTCAACTCTTAAAGCTATTTTAGCAGTTTCGCTCACTTGAAAGGCAGCTTCCCCATGAGACGTTGTCCGAAGAACACCATCCTGGCCACCCAGAAGAACAAGATGTCGTGGCCGGTCTCCAACAGAGTCCCAGGATAGAATGCCTGCGGGAGACAGTGACCCTGACATCGAGCTGATCAAAATAACACGAATGGTCTAAAAACCATGACACGGTACGCTTTTTACGTGAAGGCGAATCGGAGGTGAATGAATGACTCGAATGAATGAATTATGTATTCCCAAAACTCCTGGTTGTTTGTTTGGAGGCGTTTGGTTTGGGGGCGTTTAGTTTGGGGGCGTTTAGTTTGGGGGCGTTTGGTTTGGAGGCGTTTGGTTTGGAGGCGTTTGGTTTGGGGCGTTTCGTTTTACTCGAAGTGAAACAGTGAAACATCTGAAGCGAAGAGGAAGATGTGAATTAGGAATTTTAAAGTGTTCTGTGAGTGTTCTAAGTGATAAATACAGTTTTAAGTTGTACTTTGGTGGAACTTTTTGTTGGAAGGTCGTGATTGTTGTCCACGTATAATTGTCTATGATGCAATATATTTGAATTTGTATTATGTTCTTTTACTTTTGATGTGCGGTGTCATTCTGAATTATATTTTCTCATATACAAGTAAACAATGTTTTCAAGTATTTTTTTACGTTTTAATTAATTGCTATAGCCGCAAGTCCACCCTATCACTTTTATTGATAACCCCAGCGCGTAACAATACCAATAACAAAATACACAGATACAATGATTTCAAGTATCGACATCCTCAGCATGGCAGATGGTGAACAAGCACTCTTATGAGGGTCGCTTACCTTTAAGTCGTCAGTCTCGTCAGGCCATCCGAATATGGAGAAGGTGAAGAGTCCGGACGAGAACCAGGTGTCCAGAACGTCGTCGTCCTGACGCAGCGTGACCTCCGAGGCCGAAACTCCGAACTTCGAGACGGCTTTGGCTAAAGCTTCCTCTTGCGTGTGACCAGATACCCATAATTCTTCTTCTTTATGCTAGAAAACATTTTAACACTAATCATACCAACACTTACTGGTACCTATTTCTACCATAGCGGGTAGATAACGTCATGCGACAAATATTACTCAAAAAAAACAAAAATATATACAATAACTGTAGATTAATTGGTAAGAAAAAGTCATGAAGTCAAATGTACAAAAGCAATAAGATGATACGTACATTTTCAACGCAAAAGTTCAAAATGGGTCATTTGACCCGATATGGTATGCTTAGTGTTAATTGATTTTAAAACAATGTTAATTCAAATACTGAGGGTTTTTCTCTATATCTCAAAAATATAAAGAAAACAAACGCGGCAATATAATTGATTTACAAGAACAAAGTAGATAGGATTAAAACCTTTCTCTTAAATAAACATTTTTTATATAGCATACCAGCATATTTTAATATTATTAAGTTAAAGTTGTGATAATTATTCGAAGCTATCTAGAGTAAGATTAGGTATATACATATCGACGCTTGAAAGGCAAACGTGACTAAGCGACAATGCGTGAACTTTACAGTAGACTAATTTAAAGTTGAAATACCTGAAAACAAAATTTATTTTAACGAATCTAGCTAGTAGCTGTAGGATTGAAATGATTTTAATAGACCTAGAAATATATATTTTTTTTGCGCATCGTATATTGTTATTGCCTATCATTTATGTACAAAGCAGTTATTGTCGCTTAGTCACGTTTGCCTTTCAAGCGTCGATATTTGTTTGAATGAAAAATTTGACATTAAACACAAACATATTTTGACAAAATAAAAAAGCGACATTAAATTAAGCTAAAGAGGGCAAAAAAAAAATTAATTCAACACTAAAACTTATCATAAGTACTTCAATAGGTGGTGCAAATAAATATTATAATACTAATTCATAACTAGTCATTGCTACACAGCTACAAGTAAAAAATAACAAGAAACCAATAAAAACATGCGAATGACAATGTTTATCAGTCTTCATTAAGCGATCTCATAAACTTTCAATTTTTTTATAGCCATTTAAGTATAAATAATCATGTCATACAGCTTGGAAAATCATCTGGAAAATTGAAATATCATTTTCTGATTCTGAATTCATTTGCGGATTATTCAATGAAATTTTCTCAAAAAGATATTGAACAAAAAATTTAAAGAAGCTTTCGACTGCTAAACTCATTACGAATACTCTAAAATAATAACGTTGAACACAGTTTAAAAAAAAGTGCACAGACTACTAAAACTTAAAGGTGTACTGGCAACAATATCAGATATTTTTTCAATAGCAACACTATCCATAGTGCAGGTTCGAGCGTTAATCATCTTCATTTCATTTCACTCCATATTATCATTTTTCATAAAAATAAGAATATAAATTAAAATAAGACATGACCTAAAGGTCTTAGTTACCAGGTCAAAAAAATATTTAAAAAAAAAGGTTCGAGCGTAATAAACATTGAAGCACGCGCATGCCGAGTACGCAACGTACGTGTGCGCGGGCGCAGGACGCGGCGGTGGGGGCGGGGGCGCGCGCTCGCACGCGGCGGCTCTTCTTGCGGCCGGAGCGCGAGCGGCGGCGGCGCGGCGCCGTGTTGCCGCCTGCAACGACGTGCGCTGCCTCCTTGACCACAGACGACATTACTTCACACAGACTCTCCTGTCTCATTCATATATATAGCTCTGTCCCGCTCTGACCCCGAACGGTAACCGTGGGTAGTCACTAGCTAAATTTTCACCAAAAGGATAAACTTGTTTTTAACAATTATAGTGTATATTAAAAAAAAAACCTCAAACCTGATGAGCAGCGGGCAGTGAGACTTTGTACGCCGGAATCCTGTGTCCCCACCACAGCTGACGGGAGATGCACCAGTCTCGAATGTTCTCCATCCAGTGGTACCAAGTCTTCTCGTGGACGTCCGGGATAATCTTCAGCTCCCCGGTCTTGACGGCCGCAATAGCGTCAGCCGCCATTTTATCGCAACGGATATACCTGATTTAAAAAAAATGGAAAAACTAATCAGGAGTAGCAATCGGATCAGTCAAATCAAACAGCAGACAATGAAGGGAGACAGGTTTGACGAGTTGGAAGTTTTTTTTATTCCTTAAATGGGTGGACGAGCTCACAGTCTACCTGATCTTAAATGGTTGCTGGAGCCCATAGACATCTACGACGTAAATGCGCCACCCACCTTGAGATATAAGTTCTAAGATGTCTCAGTATAGTTACAACGGCTGCCCCGCCTTTCAAACCGAAACGCATTACTGCTTCACGGCAGAAATAGGCAGGGTGATGGTACCTACCCGGGCGGACTCACAAGAGGTCCTACCACCAGTGAATTTTCAATTATTTGTATTGTTCGGTGAAAGGCATGTGCGACAGAGGCCGACGTTGCCGCCCCCCGCGGTCCCCATGAGCCCACCACCTCGGGGTCCGCTAGAGCCCCCCCCCTCCCGCGGTCCCCAGGAGACTAACCCGCAGTCCGCTGGGGGCCGTCCCCTGCCGCGCGCAGTAGAGTTCACGGCTGCCTCATGAATATTGTCGGAACAGTTACATATTATACTCTGGTTAGCGCGAGTGAGTCGCGGTCTCGCTGTGCCAAATATTAAATACCGCAAGATTCAGGTTAATTTGCGCCAAACTTTTCAATTTTTTTCAATCAACAGTAAGCTCTTAAGCAGAACTGCGAGTCCTTACCACTGAGGCTTCAGCATCGGTTCGACGACGTCCTTAGATCGGCTGCAGAGCGGCACCACCATGGTGTTGTCCTTGGTCTCCTTGTACAGTTTCAACTCCTCGAGCTTCTTGACGATCGCTTTACGGACGTCGAAACGTTTCATACCCTGTTCGAATTCATCATCTTGTATCATGGAGCTGAGCTGTTAGCTTCGTTTAGGGACTGTCCACGCTATGAGCGTCTGTGCTTGGTGTCATGTCTATGGACACCAGATCGGCCGAGAAGCCCTTTTTTTTTTATTGCCCTTGTAGGCAGACGAGCATACGGCCCACCTGATGGTGAGTGGTTACCGTCGCCCATGGACTTCAGCAATGCCAGGGGCAGCCAAGCCGCTGCCTACCGCTTAATACTCTCCACAAGCCTCGTTTGAAGAAGGACATGTCATAGCGCTCGGGAAACACCGTGGAGGGGAGCTCATTCCATAGCCGGATGGTACGTGGCAAAAAAGATCTCTGGAAACGCACTGCGGATGACCGCAGCGGCTCCAGGTAGTATGGATGAACTCTACTCCGGTGGCGGGCGGTGCGATGATAAAAACGAGATGTCGGTATCATCTCAAATTTCTCATTGTCTAATGCACTAACAACTCACATTTACAATTACACTTCAGTTCATTTTATTCAATTTACCATTACAGGTGCTTATCGTCCTTGACTTACCACCGACAAGAATCCGCAAAACCTACGGGATTGCCCGTTTTCAAATATACATTTATGGCAACACGGATGATGAAATAAAAAAATTTAAAAAAAAGTTGTTATGTGTGCAAGTCACACACGGTAGAAGTGAAATTTATAAACAAGATATAGATATACTGACTATCCCACTACACGGGAGCATACATATGGACAGTAGACGATAGTGGGGATGCTAAGAAGAGTCGCACAAAGAGGAGACAGAGAACGTCTAATGTGTTCTATCTCATTCTCTCAGCGGCTGAATCCTATACATTTATGTCTCTATGGACTTATTTTTTCGTTTCATCGAGTTTGAAATCACGATTCTAAAGAAGTTTCACTTCAATAAAAAACATATTTTTTTATTGCTTAGATGGGTGGAAGAGCTCACAGCCCACCTGGTGTTAAGTGGTTACTGGAGCCCATAGACATCACGCAAATGCGCAACCCACCTTGAGATATAAATTCTAAGGTCTCAAGTATAATTACAACGGCTGCCCGACCCTTCAAGCCGAAAGACATTACTGCTTCACAGCAAAATAGGTGGGGCGGTAGTACCCACCCGCGCGGACTCACAAGAGGTCCTACCATCAGTAGTAATTACAACAGAAAACATCGATGCATACCGCGAAGGGGCCGCAGTTGTCGAGCATTGTGCCGTCGTCGGACAGGATGTTGATGAGCGGCAGCTTGTGCCGCTGGCCGAGCTCGTAGTCGTTGGGGTCGTGGGCCGGGGTGATCTTTACTGCGCCTAAAGCGAGACCCACATTTTAAGTTCACACATTTTCTTTTTATTGCTTAAATGGGTGGACGAGGTGACAATGAGGTTAAAAGGGATAGAGGGTCTCTTTGGGGGGAGGGGGTCTCTTAGGGTTGGGTCTGGGTCTCTTACCGCCACCCTTTTATAGGGGGGGAGGAAAGAAAATGGGGGCGTTGTGTAGAAGCTTGGGAGGCGATTTATAATTTCGTCTAGTAGGACTCTTAGACACCAACTGAGCTCTCGCTATAGTGGTTTTAAGTAGGTGAAAAAATGTGGGCGCTAAAACATAATTTATTCTCAAGGTGGACAGTAGACAAAATAAGTTTGGGAGCCCCTGCTTTAGGGAAGAGGTAGACCTAAGAAAAAATGTATCGACTGCGTGGAATACGATACGTGTAAGAGGAGAATGAGCGAAGAAATGGTATATGATAGAGGAGTATAGAAGGAGAGAACATGGCGATGATGATAGGTGGATGAGCGTACGGCCCACTTGACGTTTAATGTTTACCGGAGCCCATACGCTTCTACTACGATAATTCCGCCACCCACCTCGAGACATGAGTTTTAAGGTCTCAGACTTACAGTACAGCAGCTGCCTCGCCCTGCAAGCCGAAACGCATTACTGCTTCACAGCAGAAATAGCCAGGATGGTGGTACCTACCGGTGCGAACTCACAAGACGTCCTACCACCAGTAAACATTTTCAAAGGCCGGACACCCTTTAGTCCTCCAGTCTGGCGTCAGTAACGCGAGGACACCCGATGTACGGAGGGAACTCGTGGGCAGAGTGTATTTTATACAGATCAATATCATAGTAGTGAACCTTGTTACCATCATACCACTGAATCTGAGACGGGGTTCCTGGTCAAAGTCTCTGTTAAAGGTGTCTGGTGTTCAGGTACTGTTACCACATGATAAAGTATAAACAATATTAACCTGTTCCGAAAGCCATGTCCACATATTCATCAGCAATGATGGGCATCTTGCGATTGCAAATAGGATGAATCAAATTCTTGCCTATCAAGTGTTTATACCTAAAAGCAAAACCATAAATTTACTTAGTATGACTGCGGTAAATTATTCCAAAGCCATGGAAGTTAGCAAATTAGCATAGCCGTGGGCTTCCAATCAATCTCTGAAAATAAGATTTTGATTGGACATAAATTAATTTAAATATCAATCTTCATTGTATGCAGTACATTTAAACATTTTTTTTTCTTAGATGAATGGAGGAGCTCACAACCCACCTGATGTTAAGTGGTTACTGGAGCCCATAGACATCTATAACTTAAATGCGCCACCCACCTTGAGATATAAGTTCTAAGGTCTCAAGTATACACACATTAAATATTTGTGACTATTTTTAAAAAGAGAATGCATAATTTGTAATATTTACTTACAATATAGATCAGGGTATATACCTGGCATCATTAGGGTGGACAGCCACAGCCACATCCCCAAGCATGGTTTCTACTCTAGTAGTAGCCACTATCACCTCCTCATCCGAGCCTTCAACTTTGTACGCAAAGTGAACCAGTACTCCGAACTCTACCTAAAAATATTTACTAAATATTGACTAAGAAACTTCTTCAATATTATCATCATGATGTTTTACGTACAGGAACGTTTTTGAAAGTAATAGCATCTTTCCTCAAACAATGGTCTTTATCATTCGATCCCAGACGTATTGGGTTCCAGTGGCAGTATACCTCTCATACATAAAATGATTTGGCTTAAAACTGGCCACATGGATGTGGATCTTTGGCCTTCTTGAATGTCGCATTTATATAATGTGAAGTGTATTCATGGATGCTCACAGTTCAACTTTTGATAGCAATCTGGCTGAAGAAACGTTTATGGATATTGTCAACCTTGAATATCACTATTCACCTTAGAGCGAGACATCAAAATCTTAATCTATACTAATATATAAATCTACAGTGGTTTTTACGGATGTTCCGTTATAACCACTGAACCGTGCATCCGATTGACTTGAAACTTGGTATCCATGTAGAAAATACATGTACTTAATGGATAGACTAATATTTCTACGAATGTTGGACTCTCTACACCGTTAATGATGAGAATCTTTGTAGGGGTGAGAAATAATAACGTTAATTTTAAATGCCCAGCGAAGCGGACGGGTACAGCTAGTTATATTATAATAAGATCTATTCTACTCTTTAGGCCTTGCTTCATAGCAGATAGCAGCGCGATAGAACTACATGAAGTAAAGATAATAAAAAGCCATCATACCTTCTGTTCATATCCTGGTATTGCCAACAGAGTTCTTCCAGTCAATTCTAATTTATCTACTTCTATGTCAGAGATAGCGCTCTTCAACGTACAGGACCAGTTGACCAATCGGTTCGCACGATAGATGTCTCCAGCGTCGTGCAATCTTATGAAGGCCTCATTAACAGCTCGGCACATTGATGGGTCCATCGTGAAGCGGACTCTGGACCAGTCGTAGGAAGAACCGAGAGACCGAAGCTGCTCGTATATCCGAACTCCTTTTCTGTTATCATTTGATTTACTTTAACTGTGCTTTTTTTTTCCTACCTAAGCTGGTAGCCTTGAGAGGCTATATCAGCGTAACCTTAACTAGTAGGTGAGCTCACGGGGCTCAAACCTGACGACGTTGCTAACACGAACCCTAGCAAGAGCGGTGCTTCGGAGAATCTACCACCGGATCGGAAACGCGACCCACTGAAAAGATCTGGCGAGAAACTCAGTGGGCTGTCTGAGGGTTAATTTACTCATCGAGCCCTTCGTCGCAAGCGACGGGTTCGACGAGAACGATGACTGGTTAATTGTGCAATGAATACACTACAACGTTAATTATAAACTACTGTCCAGACACCATCAAAACTTAGTCTGGTTAAAAATAAATGTAAAGGTGATGTAAATGCATTGAAAATAAATCAGCATTAGAACAATTTCGGACAACACTAGTACAACAGTGTTATAAATGTAGTAACATTGATTAAAAATTTTTTTTATCAAATTTTATCAACAGCTTCTCACTGGGTTTATCAATACAACTCACTCGTTCTTCCAGTCCCAAACTCGTTTGATGAACTCTTCTCTGCCAAGTTCATGCCGTGTTTTCTTCTCTTCTTTCCAAAGCTTCTTTTCTACCACAACTTGTGTAGCAATTCCGGCATGGTCACAACCAGGATTCCAAAGTGTTGTACGCCCATTCATTCTAAACATATTTAGTATTGGAGTTTGAACACCTACATCTTAATGTACCCTCTATGCCCAGCAATATGCTTTATTAAAAAAAAATTGTTCAAAGACAAAAAAAATTTTTACTGGAATTTTTAATGCATAAAACAATGTTTTTACAGAGATACAATAATCATGTTACTACAACACTCAGAAAAAAAAAACATTATTTATGTCTTAGCTAATTTAAGAAAAATGATGGGATGGTCAGATAAATCCACAAATCACCATCACCAAGTAACGGTCTTGCCTATTTTGCCATGAAGTAGTCGTTCATTCTACTTCAAGGAGGATATTTCTTAAACTATATAACAGACCTCAACCTCAATTATCAATGTGCTGCTTTTCATGATGCAAGCTTTATGACCTCGAGTTACACTTTATATTAAATGGGGTATGAGCTAATTTGACAAACTACATATATAACAAAAATGGATTACCTATGCCACCTAGTTAGTGCATCTTCAACGGCGTTGGTCAGTGCATGTCCAAGATGCAGTGTTCCAGTGACATTAGGGGGAGGTATAACCATCACGAAATTACCCTTCGGATTGGGATCCAATATTGATTTCCTCTGAAAAAAAATTTTTTTTTTGTCTCCCTTTAACATATTACTGTTACTAATGGTGATATCAAAATAGAAACATCAGAAACATGCTTTATTAGCAGTCAGGGCGAAACAATTCCTTCCAGATAATCTTGATTGTTTTAAATGAGGTGTCTGATAAATAATACATATCTTATGTACAAATTTAACAATATTCAACTCTTCCAAAATTATACTTATGTAAATAAAATACATCTTTACTGGTATAAAACATGATTTCCAAATAAATTATTATAAAAAAAACAAATTGTTGGACAAGAGCCATATTTCTCTATTTACACACTATAACCAGTTCATTCCAATTTTAACTTAATCACTAAGCAAAAATTTCAAAACCTTTTTTATTTTGACATTTAAAAATTTCCAGTCTTGTCTAAATTTAGTATTAAAATAGATTACAACTACTCACACCATACTCTGGCTTAAAGAAACCCTGTTTCTCCCACCATGCATACCATGCAGCCTCAACATACCGTGGGCTGTAGGCATCGGGCATAGCACCACTGATGTCCTTCATGTCACCAAGCGCTGTGTTGGCCGTATACACTGCCGCTTCTTTTGATTCCTTAATTTTTTTCTTAAACAAGGATTGATAAATTAAACTTAATTTACAATTATTATTTTTTTGCTTAGATGGGTGAGCGAGCTCACAGCCCACCTGGTGTTAAGTGGTTACTGGAGCTCATAGACATCTACAATGTAAATGAGCGACCCACCTTGAGATATAAGTTCTAAGGTCTCAGTATAGTTACAACGGCTGCCCCACCCTTCAAACCAAAACGCATTACTGCATATCATACAGCACGGTTTATTTAGCTTGTTTAAGCTCTAATTTTAATTTTTTTACAGTAATTTCAAAATCTGGATTCAGGCAAAAGATATTACTTTATAGTTAGGTTTTTTTTTTACATGTTCGCTGGTAAACTAGGAGGCTATTCCAGCTACGCCCTGATGGTAGGTGAGCTCACTGTCTCAACCTAAGAAAATTTGCTAACACTTCTTCTAGCAAGAGCAGTGCCTCAAAGAATCTACCACCAGATTGATCGAAATTGCGACTCACTGAGAAGATCAGAGAGAAATACTCAGTGGGCATTGGTAGAATTAGAGTACAGTTCCCAGTTTTTGTCATGTTGTCATTTTGTCCTCTTTGTCATGTAAAAGCTTTTTCAAGATTTTTTCTAGTTTAGGACTGTTATTACTTGTTGTTGTCTCACAATACAGAACCTTAACTTAGGACTAACTAGGCTAAGGCTTTTGATTAACAGAATTTATATACAAATGCAGAAATGTTAATTATTTCCATAATCAAGAAAATTAAATATTATCTATAATATTACTGGATAGCAAAATAGTGTTTAATACCTAATGAATTTCATGAAAAATGTTAGAACTGATGTAATTTTAGTAGTTAATTTCTTTTCACTTTCACTTTATAACCTATTTGTTACTTTATAACCTATGTTGTCTGTTTAAATCAAAAACACTTTCTTCATGGTTATTTTATAACTTGAATATAATATATTGTTTCTATAAAGTTACAATAAATACCTCTGGCTTTTCTTTCGTAACAGCTGGTGCCGCGCTCTTCTTGTCCAGCTTGGCTTTGAGTTTTTCTAACTTAGCAGCTTTCTTAGCTTCTTTTTCCAATTGTTTGGCAGTTTTCTCCTGCGGCTGATCTTCCCCAGTATTTTGGGATTCATTGTCAGTCATCTTTACTATTGTTATTTAAGTAATTCACTCCGAATTACAGTTCTCCTCTACACAGCAACTACAAAATTATTACACTTCGGTGGCACTTTATCTACACATAATATTACATATGTGTATTATGTCTATGACTCTATACAATTGTGTGCTGCGTGGTTTTGACATTGACATTTAAATATTTTTTATGGGATCTTATGACCTGGTAACTAAGATTTTTAGGTCAAGTCTTATTTTAATTTATATTCTTATTTTTATGAAAAATGATATATTATCAGTGAAATTTAATGAAATGAGATGAGATGATATGGGATGAAATATAATCTCAGTAAATGCTGGTTATAAAATTTACTGAGACTTTTTCAGTGGGCTTTTTGGAGGATCCCGAGCTCCTCCAGCTACGTCCAGCGACTTTGTTTCATTTTCCCACATTTTTTCACTTTCAAATATATTAAACAGTTAATAAACCATCATTAACTACATTACATACAAATAGACAAAATAAAACAAATAAGACGACTTCACTCCTCGCGTTCCCGCCAAAAAGTTACATTTGAAACCAATTAATACGATTAGTCCTAACCATGGAGTTACCTAGAATAGTAACTCTATGGTCCCAACTCTCCGTTTGTAAATAAAATATGATGAAAATTTAATTGTGCATGATTTGTTTAAAAAATATATCCCATAAGCATAAATGATACACTTAATAAATAAGTTCACGAAACCATTGTTTTATTTCAGTTTTCAAAAATAACAAATTTTTGAATTTTTAGAAAAAAATTATATAAGAAATGATTTAAATATTTTTAATAATATGACGTTATTTATACCTATTTTCGAAAAATAAATACTTTTCTTCTTGTTTTAATATAAAAGCATCTGAAATATGAAAGTTCTATTATAAATATTAACACAAGCATTTGTGGTAATTATTAGTTTTTAAAATAAATAAAATAAAAAGATTACAATAATTTTTGTTTCTGTCCAAAGTAGTCCAAACCAACATGAAACCAACCTTTAAATTTTCATTTGATTATGTCATTTTTGTTTTTGTAACCTTCTTGATAATGATGCTCATCAATAGTCTTAGCAAAGCTACTATTTAAAAATAAAGTATATAGTTACGGTCTTAATTATAAATTACGTTTATATAGTAGTTACATTTTATGCTACGTTTAGAGGTACATATACCAATATTTTTGTTTTTATTATCTATACAAATATATACGAACCAGCTCTCGGCCCACTCGGCCAAAACTCATTGCTGCTTCGCAGCTGAAATAGGCACGGTAGTCATCTGAGCTGGCTCACACTTCATATTCGTATATTATATTTAATGATACCAAAGCTATATACATATATACCCCGCGTATAATTTATATTGCATCTATTAGAAATTACTGACGTTATTAACTGTGCAAAAAGGACTTTCCGCCGGGAACGTGGGCGCGAAATCGTCTGAATTGTTTTGTCTTGTTAATTTAGTGCTACTTCGGGTTTAATGTTTTAATGGTAGCTTATTAATCGTTCAGCATCTGCGCAAAAGCACAAGTCTGAGAAAATGAAACCAACAACCAACCAACCAATAAATTCATACTAGGGCATAATTTCATCTCGTCTCGTTTCATGCTAGTTGATTCCATTTTAATTCACCCCAATTCATTAAACTTTCAGATAAATATTTTGGTTAGTTGAAATGATTATCACGTCATTGAATAAATTTATTTAACAAGACAGGGCCACAGCGTCTTGTTAATTAATGATGGAAAATAGTAACGTTGTGCTCTGAGCCAATTGTGATTCTATCCAAAGGCGGATACGCATGACGTTCAAATAGTGCACAAATTCAATATCATTCTAAATTGACTGAACTTTATTTTTGTGTAAAAAATAGATTTTGATTTTTATTGTATGTTGTATGCTACTGCATACAACATACGTACAACACATACAAACAAACAATACATACAAACAATCTACTACTGTAGATTTATATAAATTCCACCGATAGGCTATTCATATTATCAGTGCAGAAAAGTTATTTACATTTAAAATAGATCTAGTGAAACATAGTATATGCTGAATTAGTAATGGCGGTATTTAGATTTTTGAAGTGAAACTTCTTTAGGCGCATGAGGGTAACATTTTTACAGATGTAGCGTCACGCAGGTATGCAACGGAAGTATCGAAAAGAGAGAGAGCGATCGAGACCGATTGAGAGAGAGTAAGATAGGGCGAACGTAGCATGAAGCAACTAGCCATGGAGCATGGAGTTAATAGTTGTAGGTACTTATTAACTCCATGCCATGGAGTGAGAGTAGGGAGCAAGCAAGTGAGAAAGATCGAGAGAAAAAGTGAGACAGAGCGAACGTCGTATCACGCACAGTGCCATGGAGCGAGAGGTGGGAGAGAGCTATAGTGAGAAAGATTGACGAGAGAGAAAATAAGGGATATCGAGAAATAATACACGCTATATTGGTTTGTGTATTCGTTAACTAGTTAATTATTTTTAATATAGCGCCATCTATGAGATTTTTTTATACTAACGTGTGTATGAAACCTCTTGTAGGGAATTTTAATTTAGGATTATACGTGAAGTTAAAATATCAATTCACAGAGGGCGTTACCTCATACTATAAAAGATGATTTACACTTATTTAATAATGACAATATTTTACATATATGTACTTAGACATTTAGGATAATTGTATTTTAATTTTTGAAGGTTTCACTTCTACCACTTGTGTATTGCACACACGTCTTTTTTTATTTATTTATTTTGTATAAGACGTAAATAAAAAATATTCGAAAATTTGTTGTTTTGCAGTTTATCCGCAAGACTACCTGATTATTCTGAAGCGTCATCAAAATTATTAGCTAAACTGAGGTTGCATCACTTAAAATCGCAGTAAATCAGCGTGATTCAAAGCCTAATTCTTTAATTTATAAATACGTTTATTTATACTCACTTTAGAGCTCACATTGAATGATATCCATATTTGCATAAAAGGCTTATTTATTTTATTTTTTTCATTTATTTCAGATTTTCCCTCCATAATTCCCTCCATTCATGAACAACAAACATTTCACAATTTATTATCAGCTCGAACTGTTTTTTTCACAGTTAAAAGTATAAATGTATCTCAGATTTAACTAGTTAATCTTTAGATGTTCTAAATGTCTCTTCGAGGGTGTCATTTAAACATAAAAAGAATAAAATAATTAAACTTGGCTTACTGGGCTAAAAGGTCATGTAGCCATGGCCGTAAACACCTCTTTTTGTGGTTGTAGTAGTCCAAACCAAATTTTGCTTCAACCATTTTGTTTTTCGATTTGTGTCTTCAACGTGCGGTCGCGTCTGTAGATTGAAGTTGATCTTTTAAGTGTATTAATAGAAAATATTCGTGATATTTCGCTTTTGTCTCTCTTATTAACTACGAACATCGCTATGTCTGATCGAGAGGTATTAAAATAAACTATTGATCGTCATGTACATTTGTTGGCGTTCCCGCCTCGTGCTCTTTATTTTGTGAGCGTTTAGATCTGTAGATATATATTTATTTAAATGTTTTGTGATTTGCTTATTTCAGAGAAGTCGTTCGAGGACTCGCAACGGTTCTCGCGAGCCGGTACCGAAACCTGCGGTGATGTCCAGAGGACATAGTCGAAGCCGGTCCAGGACGCCGCCCCCGCCAAAAGCAACTAGCAGAAAATATAGAAGCCCGTAAGTTTATACGTTTAAACTTTTTAATATATAATGTTGAAACTGATCATTTCGTACATCTAATTTATTGTAGTTTCCACGCTTTACTGCATATTTTGCCATAACCTCGTTGTCAAGGACATAAAGTTGTGGTCAGCGTCGGTTGCGCAATTTGCATTAAACCGGCTGTATAATTATTTACACTCATACAATACGTTAAGGAAGTGAACTTTGAATTCCGAATACTATGTATCTAATTAAGAATAGGAAATATTATAAGGTTACATACTAAAATAGTGGAAATTATTTATTCATAAAAATATTACAATTTATTAGCAATCGAATTGCTGTAGTAACTTGGTTCTAATAAAAACTATCCAACCCTACAGAAATGTCATTTAAAAAGTAAAACAGTAAAATCTACACGACATATCAATGACCCAATGTTTGATCAATTATTAACAACAACTATAGGCAACTTCACATAGCAACAGTTTTATCAATAGTGCAATGGTGGTACAGCTGATAAGATTATAGTGGTGTAGTTATGAGCAGTCTTAATGGGACTTTTATGGGTTTTCATTATTTGTTGAATAATTTGTTTGAGTTTGTTTTTTGATCTTGCTTATTTGCTGCCATTATTGAATATTATGTAGTTTAAGACATATTATAACCCTTTGCAATTAAGTTTTAGAATTTCAAAAAGCACTTTGTTTAAAGTCATATTTTAGCATTTATTTTGGTATTTTGTTTGTGATCATTAGTGTGAAGTAATTATTAGAAATATTACATTACCTTGGCTGCAAAAGGTTAATATAAATCAAGATTTCTTAAAATGCATGTTATTGTGCATTTGAAAGCATGGTTTTGAAGCAGAACGTTGACATTTTTTATGGAATAATAATAATAATTCATGTAAATAACTGCTATCTGTATTCTATAATTGACAAAAAAAAAAACTTGAAGGCAATCAAGATTTCCAATCGAAAACTGAATTTTCTTATATTTACTCTGGAGACATCTGACAGTTATGTTGAATATCATTCACAGTAAAAAAAGAAATTAATTAAGAATAAGTTCCAACTCAGAAAAATCAGTGTCATAAATGTTTATTATTTTTAGAGTGTATGTGAATTCTCAGGGGTAGGTTTTGTGCTCAGGAGTTTTTATCCTGCATTGGAGTCCATGTTTTTTTTTTTTTTTTTTTATGATTGAAGGATTACTGGTGGCCCGGAGGCCTTTCCAGTTTCACCAGGACAGGTGGGCGAGCAAAGGCTCAGCCAGGAGGGGTGGGATTTGCTAACAGCTACCCGAGCGCCTCCGAAGGAGACCTAACAGCTCAAGAGCAGCTGCTTCGCGAATGAATCTACTACCGGATCGGAATCGCGACCCGCTGAGAAGATCCGGCGAGAAACTCAGCGAGCTGATTCATGGGTTAGGTTGCACGGCGAACTCTTTGTCGAGTTCGACGAGTACGGTTACCGAGGTCCCTAAGCCTGCTCCTAGAGCTGAAGGCGTCTAGTGCAAAGGTTATTGGATCTGATGGATGGAGTCCATGTCTCAAATACACAATGATATAAAAGTTTAAGATTGACACTACTGGATTTATTAACATGATTGGTTGTAAATGAATGGTTCTTTTCTAACATTAATCAAATTTGTTCTGGTACTTTCTTTATTGTAATGTATTAGTTTACAATTTATCAAATATGTAACAAATAAATGCTAACAATTATTGTTGCCATATAAAGTGTTGTTTTGTTTGTTTGTTTTTAACTCAAGCATGCTAACAAGCGGTCTAACGGTTGATGGTAGGACACACTCCAGATCGCGATCCCGTTCCGGCTCGGCTCGTCGCGGCTACCGCTCGCGCCACTCGCGCACCCGCTCTCGCTCTTACTCACCCCGGGGCTCATACCGCCGCAGTCATAGTCACAGCCCTATGTCATCCCGGCGCCGTCATCTCGGTGACAGGGTGAGACTTTTGGTACAGAACATTTTTTTTATAATCTTTTTATTTTATAGTCGCTTACAAACTGATGTGGACTCACATAATTATTTAGTAAAATCATCAAAAGGTCACTCAATTTGCTGCTTTTACATGAAAACTGAAATTACGATTTGCAGTTAATATTTCCAATGTTGTTTATATACAAGTTCCTCATTATCAGTTTGTATACATAATAGGATCCGGTCAGTACTGCATCAATACTAATCAATTAAAATTACAATGATTTTGTGAGACTACATAGATTTGTCAGTTAGTTTTTAAGTTAAACTATAGATAATAATAATGTAATTTAAGGCAATTTGTTAATTTGTTGACACTATTATAAAGACTTATAAGTTGAAATCAAAATGAAATAAATGCTCAATGATATACCAAAACTACAACTACAAATTTGCAGAGGAAAAAAAGTGTTACAAATTCAATATTTTCCTTCTTTAAACTTTTACACAAGTACATACAAACAAACTTTTAACATTGTGGTTATGTTCCTATATTTGTTAATAGATATAGAGAATTTTCTTAATTGAAAAATAAGATTTTTACACAGTTACCAAAATCAATTTGAATTGTTTTTAAACTTCAAGATTAATTGGTTTGTTTAAGTTGATTTCTAGATGAATTTCTAAATTACACTATCAGATTTAATGTGGTGACTGGTGCCATACTTCATACTAAGTTACTTTTAAATTAAACACCATTCTAATCAAGATTGAGCTCAACATTTTGTTGCTAGCTACAACTGTATTAAAGTTGTTAAAAAATGAAACAAGTTTGTGAGAAAGATTAGAAGCTTTATGTATCAAATTGTGACTTTGATTTGATGTCTCATGTTACATTGTTGTAGAGCATCAGTCACCAATTCGGATCAGCTGTTTTCTGGCAACAAATAAAATAAGAATTTGAAAAATTTGTAAAATAATCCAACCAACTTCAAAAATGACTTTATGCCTCATCTGATTCAATTGTCAACAGGAAAACCCTACCCCCTCTCGGTGCCTCGGGGTTTTTGGACTTAGTCTTTATACAACTGAACAGCAGATAAACCATATCTTTTCTAAGTATGGACCCGTTGACAAAGTGCAAGTTGTAATTGATGCAAAGGTATGTATTGGAGAATTAAATTCATTTTAATTAAATGATAAATAAATAAATACTTACTATAAATAAATATTTACTAATAATCACGCCGCGTTAACTGGTCCCATGATAAGTTCGTAAAGAACTTGTGTTACAGGTACCAGATAACGGAAATAAATGTAAGATTTTTATCATACACATACATAGTATATTTAATATACATCCATAACCCTGGAAAATACATTTATATTTATCATACAAATATCTTCCCTTGGCGGGATTCGAACCCGCGACCCCCTTGTGTAGTGACCATGTCACTTACCGCTACACCAGACGGTCGTCAATCAATTGACTGCAATAGATCTTTCATATTTCCACGGTAGGCAATAGTGGCTAAGGTGTGATGACCACGAGCGATGGTGTCAACTCAATCAGCTGGAATGTTTTATCGAATAGAGTCAACATCCCCATTGTATTTCTTGAGCTTACTAAGTTTATCATTAACTTTTGTTTTCTAAATTATTAGTAGGAACAAAAACTATTATGATCGAAATATGTTCTTTCACACAGACGGGCCGTTCCCGAGGGTTTTGCTTCGTTTACTTTGAGGACATGGAAGATGCTAAGATTGCAAAGAATGAATGCACCGGAATGGAAATTGACGGTCGTCGCATCCGCGTCGATTATTCCATAACACAGCGAGCTCACACTCCCACTCCGGGCATCTACATGGGCAAACCTACGTAAGTAATTAAACTGGTGTTAGTATATACACTATAATAAAAAAGTAGACTAGTGATGCAATTGGCAGCAATAAATTTTATCAATATATATTGATCTTGAATAGAAAAAGAAAAAAAATGGTTTTATTGGCTAAAAACGAAATGCCATTGTCAGTAAGAAACTTCACGAGCACCTTTTTATCTTTCCATAAATGAACGCATCACTTTTTTACAGTATATTTGTAGTCTGATTATGTGAATTTTACTCACAGCTACTGACAACCTCGACATACATATTAATTGAAATCTAAAAATTATTGCAAAAATTTCGACCATAAATACTGTTCATTAACAAATCAAATCCGAATAGTTGTAATGTAAAACAATTGATTTTGTTTTCAAAATTATATTTGAGTCGACTATTATCAAAGCCGGCAATGTGACTTCTGGAAAATTATTGGTAAATCAGAAAAACGAATTATTGACTTTGTATTCCATTGGCAGTCACAAAACTCTTCTGAACGACATCTTAGATAAATAACAGGTTAAGTATTAACTTTTATTTAATGCAGGTTTTGAACCGTATTCTTTGAAGGAGACGATTATATTCAAATCAACCTGTATTGACATATCAATAACATTTTTTTGTCCAAATGCACAGATTGCCACCTTTGATAATAGACGACTCATTTGTAATCCAACACTGTAATTTCACAGATTAATATTACTATATTTGTGAATCCAAATGTTGGTAGATTATACAGATATGAATGGTTTAGAGTGAGTTTGTTTATAGTGTAACTGACTCATTAAAGGCCCATTCTAACATTTTTTATATCCTTTTATTTAATTGGTTTTAAACCATCGAGAAATATATCAGTCAGCTAAATGTTGGCCACAATTTAACCAAGTACTCAAGTGAGCTTAGTGCGAGTTTCTTAACGTTCCCGATAGCGTAAAAGTTAAGGCAATTTTGTATGCAGTTGGAACAGCGCCCCTAGCGGCAAACGTACGCAAACGATCCCATTCCATACAAATATGAGCTAACTTTTACGCTATCGAGAACGTTTAAAAACTCGCACTAAGCACACAGAACTCCATTTATAAAAAAAAAGTTTTAATTGAAATAAGTTCCCGTGTGTTACAACGCAGTGACGCTGCCCGGCCGCGCCCGCTTGAGACTTACTGTAACCCAAACGTATTTTGTTTAGCAGAATAAGTAGCAGAGGCGATAATGGATACGACAGGCGCCGCGACAGAGAGTGAGTCCTTTTTTTTTTTTTAACTGAAACCCCCGCTTGAAATCATCCTTCTTGAAACTCATTGTGCTGTGTGCAATCTGGCGTTAATGCCGCGTAATGAATTTATAATTGATTAGATCGAAGCCCTAAAAAAATTGTTATGCATTATCAGCACAGATATCATGGTGAAACAATTTTTATTGCAAACTGTTCGATATATACTAGTGAAAGTGACTAGGATTGAACACATCAGATCTTACAATTTTCAAGGAGGGTAGACACTTTGTAGTTTCTCTGACTTTAAAATAACTAATCTTGACCATGCATACTGATACTTGATGCCCATTTTATGCTTGCATAATATGACTAGTATCTATGTGGCAATGTACATGCCCCATAAGCAAAAAATCGTAAAACGATCGTCGTGGCTCGACAATACTTAATAGTATTTTTTTATTGCCAGTGTTTGAAATTTTATTGGTGAATTGTAATTCAAATAATTCTCAAGGCGTTCTGTACTTTTATAGTTTTATTCTACTGTAGAGGTCACAGTTGTGAGGGAATTATCGTTGTTGTAGCATAGCATAGGTTTAAATGGGAATAAATTTTTTTTTTATTGCTTAGATGGGTGGACAAGCTCACAGACCACCTGGTGTTAAGTGGTTACTGGAGCCCATAGACATCTACAACGTAAATGAGCCACACTCCTTGAGATATAAGTTCTAAGGTCTCAGTATAGTTACAACAGCTGCTCCACCCTTCAAACCGAAACGCATTACTGTTTCACGGTAGAAATAGGCAGGGTGATGGTACCTACCCCTGCGTACTTACAAAAGGTCAAGACTCACAAGAGGTCCTGCCACCAGCAAAAATGTTGAGTGGTTATTAACCGCATAAAACCGTCCCCCATTTTAACAGCGTATTGTAAAAGTACACATGATTTATTACCGGTCAGAACTCATTTTTCAGTAAACTTTGGTATCGGTTCACATCGCTGGCCCGACCAGAGCCGGCTAGTTGTTGCTGACGTGTGCTTGTGTCCACAGCGACTACTACTACCGCGGCGGCGGCGGCGGCGGCGGCTACCGCGAGCGCGACTACTACCACCGCGGCTACCGGCACCGCTCGCCCTCGCCGCACTACCGCCGCACGCGACGCTACGAGCGGGAGCGCTCCTACTCGCCCCGTGAGTACACGCACCCACACCCACACCCACACGCACACGCACACCCACACGCACACGCACGCGGTCAATTGAAACAATCGCATAATTGTTGCAGTTAGTAATTGCAGTGTAAACTCTGGTGAGAGATCACCCGCACGGAAGCGGACTCGTTATCAACGCGAACGTTACTCGCCCCGTAAGTATTAGTTGTAATGTCTCATGAACGTGTTGAGAATCTCAGTTAAACTAATAAAGATATGAAAGTCGACATTTTGTCTGTCCGCACAATTAACAAGTCGAAAGAATTGCACAGTTCTTATTAACAGAACTGGCCTCTGGTGGCAGAGTGTGCAGTGAGCCTGCACTCAGTCAGGGATATAAGTATATTGTTGAGACTTTAAGAACCCAAATATACAAAAGAAAAACCATAATGATCATTTGTTTTGAAATAATTAAAATGTGAAATGTTTGACTGAAATACTCAATACTGGAGGAATCCGTCACGTCTAGACTAGCAGGTAGACTTTAGACACGAGTAGACTCAGCAGAGCTGACTAGTGCTCTCCATTCAGTACGTGGATTCGCTTCTGATACTTTGTGTAATCTTGTAAGTATTAGTAGTTCAGTCCCTTAGGTCTCTAGGAGTCGAGGTAGTAGTGTCAACATGAACAAGTAAGTTATTAATATTTATGATAATCACTTCTGATAAAACTATAAAACGTATAGACATTGCAAGATTTGTGCATTGGACTCTATTGCTTTAATTATTTAGATATATTAGAAAATGTAATAATAGTTAAAATAGTTGCTAATTTGTGCAGTTTCTAAAGTCTAGTTCACAAATTTTGACAGCTTTAATATCCAACAGAAAACCAGTAACATTAATTAACATTTTACACTTATATAAGTATTCATTCTACGAGTAATAATATAATATTTATTAATTAATCATCATTAGTGTATTTTGTGCATATATTTGTCTGTAAATTGATTCTGTTAATTTTGACATCTTTATCTCTGTTTAAATAGTCGGCATCATATATAATTAAAAAAAAAACAATTTTAATTCCCCAATTACAATTTTCCATGTTTTATATTCATTCGGTCAGTTTATTCTCATCAATAGAATGAGCTGCCCCGTTCCGTGATGCCGATGCGTTTTGATGTGTGCTTTGTGATCGTGTACATGATAGTTACATTCCCTTGTTTAAATTTCCAGGTCGTTATTAGTAAGTTCGCGACGCTGACCTCAACCGAATAGTTTGATACACGTATGGCCCCAATGTCGCCCCTGGCCTCGTAATGCATTTAAACGGTACCTGTGTCGGCCGGGTTACATTGTACTGTTTGTTAATATGATTAAGGATGTTTGTAAAGTGACCGAGTCGCGGTCCTGTCGTCTTAATGGGTTTATATAGATTTAATTAGAACGTAAGACAGCCCGCTGCGGGCCACGCCTCTAGAATGTAAACTTAGCTCTAATAAAGTTTTAACAATAAGGTCTAATATTGATTTTGTTTGTTTTGAAAAGGTATTGAAACAAGAAGTAAAGGATGAAGTTCCTTGAAACTAACTGTGTTGAAGTTTTGAAAATGTTTGCATTGAAAAAAGCCCTTTCGAAACGGCGGTCGAAAACCCGGACCGGCCGAGGGAAGTTCGCCGCTTGTCGAAGCGAAAAGAATATGATCGGGTTACCCGCTTTGTAGGAAGCAACCAAGCTTTCAAGAACTTTGAAGAGAGAAGTGTCGCGCTAAATTTTGATCATATTCTTTATCTTCCGACTTAAAAACAATAATAATAATCGTAATAATTCTGCAGTAAATCTAACACACGTTGCATTTCACTTCGGTATTTACATGTTACATATATTATTTTTATTATATGTATTCGGTTTTTATTTGAGTTTGACATATCTATATAGTTAGATGTAGTGGTAACTTGTGAGCGACTATCAATAAAACAATAGTTTTGTAACGTCGTATGTAGTACTTCTTCATTCATTGCGTTTCTCTCTCCCACCTTTTCTTATCCATCATTCCCTTGATATTTTTGATTCTTGATAATGTGCAGACCTACGAGTTGAATGCACTGGCAAATGACTCAAATCTGTTACTGGTGGTGAGACTGTTTCATCAGTCCCGTGTTTCATTAAAGTTTTAGTCGCCTTAGATTCTTTTCTAATGTGCAACAATATTCGCGAACAACTTGTTTTCACCTTTACCGTCTCAAAGCATTCCATATATTTTTAGTGAAAACAATGACCTCAGAATTATGTTGAATTTGGCACTAACAAAATAACAAAACAAGTTTTCTTGAAACGTGACCAAAATCGTTTGTTTTTCTCAGAATGGGATCGACTTGTAGGTATGATCGTAGTTAATTCGTAAGAGTTTTGGAATTGTATGTATATATAAATATTAGTTATTGACAAAATAATTACTGGTGTTTCATTCTATACAAACTACTAGAACGCTGTGTATTTAGAAGTACAATTACTAAATAAATTTTAAGGGATAAAAAAGTTCTTGCAGAAATACGTTGAGCTAATTTCATTATATTAATTTTACTGTACATAATATTTGTAATGTACTAAACCTAACTTACTGATTAATGTAGTATAGTACCTTGACATTTTATAAAAAAAAATGCAAGTTATACTATTTTTGCAAGAATTCTTGTAGTTGTTGGTTCCGCAAAAAAAAAATACAAATTGCACTAGTCAAAAAGTTTATTAAAATTCTTATATAATTATGTATGTATACCTAATTATTCTAATTACTTATAACACCATATACACAAGTATTGGCACTATGGCTGCTTCACTATAACACTTACATTACTATTGTTAAAACTACTATTAACGATGTAAAAATCTGCTTAATAACTTAACATTAATCCAATTTAGTTTTGTCCAATGCAAACAGTACATTAGGTCTCTAGAAAGTTACAATATAAAGAACAAAATACTAATATATTAAATCACAGAAAGGGCTGCGGTTCGGTGTTTAACATTGAAATATACTGATGAAATTTACGTCTAATATGATTGAAAAGGCTCAAATTTGGTGACATCTTTGCAAAGGATACACTCCAAATTTGAATCTTGATGTGATATTGGAATGCGCAAATAACATGGAATGGTTAATAATACTGTCATGATTACAATAACAAAAAAAATATTGCTACATATAAAACTTAACAAATCTAAAAATAAATAATTCGAAATTAACATTATCCGGTATTTATATTTTAGTCTGAATAAAACCAATATGGTATTTTCCTTACTTATCTAAAGATCGTGTTGACACTAAATATTTCTGTGCTCCGACACGTGATATACTTAAAACGCTTTACATATTGAAATAGCATTTGGAAAATTTATATTCAAATCTTTTTCTTATAGGTAGGATATTTTATTTATAAAAAGGTCAAAGTATTGAAGCCCGCGATTCAAGCATGTATATTTACATAATTTTTTTGCAAAAAATCCAAGCCACAAAATAGTGAATAATGGAGAAATCGAAGATAGTTTTGGAAACGGGCGGCACCTGATATCTTAATGGCAAGTATAAACATTTGCTTAAATATAACATTTGTACAGAACTCCTTTTGTACAAACTTCATAGCCAAAATACGCTTAAATTAATGAAAACGATAGACACCTACAAACTAAGCTAATATGAAATTGCAATACGCATTAAAACCGGGCACTATGGTAAGGTGCAGAAAGGATCATTTTCATTAATTTACTAGGTATATGAAAATAACTACCTATTTGGTAGCTGCTTCATTAAATACTCTACTCTACATAATTTCTCAACTGTACAAACACGAAGTATAAAGTACATTTTTTCAATGAATTGATTTGTAATTGATTATGCTGGATAATATCATTGAGTCTCATTGAGATATGCATGTACATACATACATATGTGCATTGTGACTAAAGTTGAGAAATTATGAATTAATACCAGTTTCACTAAAATATCCTAAGCTATCTTTGAATTTTACAATAACGATTAGTAGCTAATTTAAAGGTAAATTTTTTGGCTTTATTTCACCTACACTAATTGATAACTTATCCCGTCCGATCGTAGCAGCCTAAGCTACCAGCGATTAGGTAAATAAAAAATTACACCTAAATTTAAAATAATTCTGAGTTTTGGAAAAAAAATGTTGATTGCTTCTATTATGCAAATAACATCCTACAATTTAAATTGGACATAAATTGAAATGTTTTTTTGTTTAAAAGTCATAAAATTTTGACATTATGTTAATGATTTTTCGCTGCTATCGAGAATTATTTTTATAAATACCTACTTTTATTATTTTTATAAATACCTACTTTTACGTATATAAATATATATACATACTAGTTTAACGCAAAAGTATCTATTTTTGACTTCTTATTTTGAAAGATTTTGAGTACCTTTTCTTGATGTACTTTGCGTTGCCTAACTTATTATATGCATAGGTAATATTGACAGCTAATGCCACGTTAGTACAGTTTCGACCTTGATAGTTATGTACTGTCCATTGCTGGTCGTTAATTATTTAATCATTTGTAGAAATCCAAATATACAAAGACTATAAATATTTTTAGCCTTTTAGATTTACCAAAAATTACCAATGGCCTCCTAGTTTGAATATTTACTTTGTGATACAGGTTATTTTTTTCAGTTATATTCGATTTACATGGAGATGTGATGTTCGTAGCTATGTATTTAAATACGCAATAAGTACCATGACTACATAGTGCGTTAGTAAATAAACACAATGGTCTTTTTTCGGGACTAACAAAGTTATTCTGTAAGGATAATGCTAGTTACTCTTCCATGCAGTCGAGACATATGAGAACAATCTATTAAAATATCTATAATTTTGTATAAATATGTTAATGGAATCGGATTGTGACCGTGGGCACATTATATCCTGCCTTTAAAGTGCCCTAAATTATTACTGTTGTGTTGGTATAGAATGTTACAAGGTTAATTGGAGGCCCCGAGTTTTTTTATTGGGTTCATATATGTAATTATGTAAATCACGGTGTTTAGTAACTAACTTATTCCAATGGTTTGCTATATAACTGGTCACTATTGCTTATGATTTGCATTTACTACTGTTGGTATGTTTTATAATCTAGTGGTGCAGAGTGGTGTTAGCTGTCTGGGTTCCATTAATTCAGTAGAGTGATTACCCAGGTTCTATGACGCCTAGAGAATAATACTTCAATACCTAAATTCGTATTCATTTTTGAAGTGATAAAAGTATTGTCTGATCCCGACACAACGCTGCTTATGATGTACTCATTTTTCTCAATGCTGACGGGAGTTGTTTTATCAATTTCTTATGAGGGTGATGTTTGGAGATCACGTTTTTTTTAATTCCCCTTGTAGGCAGACGAGCACACGGCCCACCTGATGGTGAGCGTTTACCGTCGCCCATGGACTTCAGCAGGGGTAGAGCCAAGCCGCTGCCTACCGCAAAAGTGTGAGCTGCATTGTACGTGCGGCGCGTTAGAGCAGCAGCGTGGCGTGGTCCCGGTGCAGGCGGCGCCGCGCCCGCAGCGGGGCGGCCGCCAGCGCGTCGGAGGGCGGGGGCGGGCCGGCGTCGCGCGGGCCCCGCTCGCAGTAGTACACCTCCGCGCCGCCGCTGCTGGCGCCCACCACCACGCTCTCGTCGCTCCTGTCGCAATAGGAACACAGTTCAGACTTTGTACAGGCGACCATGTGTTCGTGCAATGCAAGATAACGTAAAATTGGGGGGATCGGGACCCTAAGTTCGACATTGATTTTTATTGTTTTTTTTTGAACTTATAGTAATAAAACGGAGATCATAATGGTTCCGGTCGTTTAAATTTTCATTTATAATGCATTAAGATAGTTTATTAAAGAGTAATCATAAAAAGTAAAAAAAACCTCACTTGTCCCTATTCACCCAAGCGTTGGGTAAATCTGGTTACGTATGAGGACAATTTTTTTTTTTTCGGTAGGGCTGTTACTATTTAGTTGTTAGGTTGGTACCTAACTTAAGGTAATTAACTTTTGAACATCTTTAATGAGTTACAAAACTTTGATGACTAAATTAAACTATTTAATATTCTTAAACAAAAAAGTATCGTGACATCCCAGATTTGTCCCAAATCTACTGTATAAGCGTTTACTTGCTTAAATGCTTGTTTACTTCTCTACACCAGCAAATAAATTTGAATTAAAAATAATTAATCATATGCCGTACGTTAGAATTAATGTGTTCTTAGAAATTTTAATTGTAATTAACTCTTAGACCACTCAATAGCATACCTTAGTATTAGTTCGGAGAGTTCAGGATCGTCTGAGAAGTCATTGTGTATGAGGCCCATAGTGGCGATGTCTGTTGCTGCCCACGGGCCTCCTTTATTGACAGTTCCCCAGTCTGGATCTAACAGCAGGTAGCTGTAATCTGAAGTCTCGCCGCCCGCTCCAAGCGGCTCCATGCACTTCTGTTCGATAGGGCCCAACGCGTTCAGGGATGTTTCCCACTGGAGGAACATACAAAATTAAACATTTTATATATTGAGGGTAGATACACGTCAATATTAAATAGCTTTGGGATAAAACCGGAAATAATTTATTTTTTTATTTTTCTATACTAATATTATAAAGAGGAAAGATTTGTTTGTTTGTTTGTTTCGAATAGGCTCCGAAACTACTGGACCGATTTGAAAAATTCTTTTTCCATTAGAAGCCGACATTGTCCCTGATGAACATGTGTGTTTTAATGTTTCCGAAGCGAAGCGAGGGCGGGTCGCTAGTTATATTATATTTAAGAATACTAGCTGTACCCGTCCGCTTCGCTGGGCATTTAAAATTAACGTTATTATTTCTCACCCCCACAAAGATTCTCATCACTAACGTCCCCGCAACTGGTGTACGGAGCCCAACACTCATATAAATATTAGCTTATCCATTAAGTATATGTATTTTCTACATGGATACCAAGTTTCAAGTCAATCGGATGCACAGTACAGTAGTTATAACGGAACATTCGTAAAAACCACTAGGTTTATATCTAATATATAAAATTATCGTGTCACAGTTTTCGTTGCCATACTCCTCCGAAACGGCTTGACCGATTTTGATGAAATTTTTTGTGCTTATCCGGTATCTATGAGAATCGGCCAACATCTATTTTTCATCCCCCTAAATGTTAGGGGTAGTCCACCCCTAAATTTTATTTTTTATTTTTTAGACGAAATTTTTAATTTCTATTTTTTTATGATACAANTATATATAATTATCACTTTTAATAAATGAAAACAATTAATGTTTGGTGTTTTGTTATTTTTAAACAACATTCCCTCATCGTTCCAGGCCTTTTTCACTCATATTCCACATCCTTATACACTTCCAATAAGTTAGTAATTTTTTTTCTACACTAGAAATTCTCTAGAAATCTTATATATGGCAAGACAACGTTTGCCGGGTCAGCTAGTATTAATATAGATTTTCAGACTAACTTAAAACAAAAATCGTGGTAAGTATATGTTTTGTATTTATTCAATGAAGTACTGAGTGTACTAAAAAAATATTTAGCGGAATTTTATGTTATAGGGAATAGATTGAAGCGTACATACAGTGTCGTAAGTATGAAAGTGGAAGAAATAGCTCACCAGTGAATTGATAGTATCGGCATCATTCGCGGCCTCAATGTCCAGTAACGCCAGCAGCGCCATGTTCTGCAGTCCACTAACGAACAGGGCGCACTTAACGGCATGCGAGCTGTACTCCGGCAAAATGTCCAGGTCGTCATCTTCGTCGCTATCACACTCGACGCGTTGAGTCTTTGGCCTGTGTAATTAAAATATAATGTTGGTGAGAGCTTTTTACTGGTGGTAGGACCTCTTGTGAGTCCGCCCGGGTAGGTACCAACACCCTGCCTATGTCTGCCGTGAAGCAGTAATGCGTTTCGGTTTGAAGAGTGGGGCAACCGTTGTAACTATACTGAGACCTTAGAACTTATATCTCAAGGTGGGTGGCGGCATTTACGTTGTAGATGTCTATGGGCTCCAGTAACCACTTAACACCAGGTGGTTTGTGAGCTCGCCCACCCATTTAAGCCTTAAAAAAAAGTGGTGAGATCAATTATTACTCTGTACCTACATACGTCATAAACATGGTCAACATGAACGTGTGTCCTAGCATGACTTTTATTCAAATAAAATCGCAGGAATGTTTGTGAATGTATACTGCTGTTGATTATATATTTCTGAATAAAAAATAGATAAAACAAATAGACTCACCTATCACAAAACGTGATCTGCCTTTCTGCGGCCGGAGTGGAGAATTCTCTCAGTTCTAAAGGCGTCATGACTCTGCTGCTGTATCCGCTTGACTTGTCAGAGAATGCTAGATGACTCAGTTTCTCCATCAGGGGAGTGAGTTGGACGCCGGTGAGTTTCTTCTTGAAACTAGTCGCTTCAGAGTCCGAGCCGATTTGAGAATCCGAACTTTCGGATAGCGACTTCAGCGGCAGCGAGAGAGATTTCCTTCTGGAATGGTCTGTGGAGAGTGATTTGGCGGGATCCTTAGCGAATTTCTTGGGCGTCCTCTGCGGAGACCTGTGTAGTTCCGAATCGAAGTCGTCGAACCTGTCCTGCTCGCACAGCTTCGTGTTGAACGAAAACATGTTCGGCTCCTTCGAGTCCTGCTTCATTCTCGAATAATACTGTTCCACGTACTGGTTGAAGAGCGACTCCGATATGGCGACGCCGTCGTTCCTGAACACCGGGAAGGACGGATCGGTTATCGTCATGGTGCACTGGCTCTTCAGCGAGTCGACGTCCGGAGACGGGGTGTCGTCGTCCGGGGGGTTGTGGGACTTTGTCAGCTTGAACTTGGACGCGGCTCTCTGGGGGAGGCTCTGTATGTCCGTGACGCTGGCCGGCTTGCGGATGGGCTGCGGCTTGTTGATGTAGTGGTCCGCGATGCAGTTCATGTCCAGAACGATTTGGTTGTCGCGCTTCTCGTTGTCGAAGTTGATCTTCGCGCAGTTCTCGATGTTCTTCAACACGTCCGGCTCAATCGGCTTCTCCTGGTGGTTCGTGTCCGGGTTCTGGCAGATAGAGAGCATGTTCCCGTGGAGGCGCTTGTACTCCAGCATCGGCGTGGAGCACACGCTGGTTTGTCCCGTGAAAACTTTATCGTTCTCTTTGGCGTCTTCGTCGAGAGACTGTTGGGTCTTGAAGCTCAGCGAGAGCTTGTTGGGCCTGGGACGGGGCTTGTTCGTGAACGGGACCACGTCGGGCACGCTGGCCTTGCGGTGTTCAGCGGTGGGGATCTCTTCTCGATTCGGCGGAGAGATCATTGTGTGGTCTTCCTCCGGGACGGCGGTGAACAGTAACGACTTGTCTCTCTTCATTCCCGTCTGGGGGAACTCACGTTGCCTTTCGCGTTCCGCTTCTTGATTCTGTTAAGACATTTAATCTGATCAATTTACATTCAGATCGTGTTAATTTAAATTACAACAGTTTAGCTTTTTATTTTTTTAATAATAATAAAAAGACCATTAATTATCTTTCACAAGCATTATACATAAAAAAAATAAGACAAAAAAAATGGAACAAGAGCTTAAAACATTACCAGATCAAAATAACTCACCTTTTTGAACCTGGCAATAATTTCTTCTCCGTTTTGATAAAACTCTTGCAATTTATCAGCCTGTCTCTTGAGGTTGTCATACAGCTTCCTCCTGACGTACACGACGAGGAGCTGAGCCCCCAGTGGCAGGGGAGCCTCGGTTTCGAGAGTCTCAGCCGGGGACTTTATCCGGTAGGGGTCGACCACGGTGAGGTATGACGTCAGACCCGGGGGCAGCTGTGTGGCTATGATCCTGACAAAGAGAGATGATACATTGAAGGAGTGCACTTTTTATCACTTCAATGGTCTTAACTAGCCGGTTTTTTCTTGATATTATTATTATCACCTTGGGTTTTTCCACTTCCAGATCTGTGGTTAGAGGCACGGTAGACCTTGAATGCTTTTCAAATCTCTGCTTGATTGTTATTTAAAGAATTGCGGAATTTAAATATTTGAATAACAGTGTGCTTAGTGCGGGTTTTGTAACGTTCTCGATAGCGAGAGAGTTAGCTCAAATTTTTATGGAGTCGCTGTTCCAACTCCATACAAATTTGAGTTAATTTTACGTTATCGAGAACGTTAAAAAAGTCGCACTAAGCACACAGATCGACCGTAGGAAACGTAGCATTACCTGTAAGTGTTATATGTAATGAGTAATGTTATATATTTACTTGTTATTGTAAAGTATTACGCCGCCGAGGACACCGGTACTTTTGCGACAATGTTCCAGTATCTGCATCGACTCCATGTAAGTGGACGTGGCGCTCTGAAACAACACATTTCGATCAGTATTGTAGCGACATCTCTCGGTTGTAAGGGAAAACTCTTGAATCGTGATATACCAATTTTGTTTATTCTATTGCATTATTGATTTAGACAGCACGCAATGTAACACAAACCAATAAAACAGTTAATCAGCGAGGTCAATGCACTACAGTCTAAAGTGATTAATGTTGTAGGTATAATTCAGATAATGAATAAATTTTTTACTTTTTGTTGAACAATTTTATAACTACCGTAACACATTCATTTTAAGGTATCTTATACAATAAAGTTGCAATACAAATAAGGTGTTGACTCGTAACTCGATGTTCGTTCAAACAATTTGTTCAAGATAAGAAACGAAATACAAACACTTATGGTATACTTCGAATTAGATTCGCTTGTGCGACAAAGAAGTTTTCCGTTGAAAGATGTCAACTTTATAGACCCTTTTGTTCGCAATGGGCTGTATGAATATGAACTTTTTAGCCATAACGGTTCCACCATCAACAAAAGCATCAACAAACTATCAGATATTGTTCTAAAAGTTGTATTTTCAAACTTATTTCGTACGAATCAAAGCAGCTAATTGAAAAACACGAGAATTTATTGTGAAATACATAAATATTTTTAACTTGGCTTCTTAAGCTAGCTTAAGGTTTGTTATAAAACATGTTTTATTGAGATGAACGTCCGTATTTTAGGTCACATATTCAACTAATCTAAACAATCTAAATTTAATTTATGTATTTGATACTTTAAACTCGTTTCCAAAATGGCATTGAGGATTAGAATGTAATTTTTTTTCGATTTAACAAATCACACTCAACCTTATCGGGTTAATATCGGTGACTAAATTCAAATGCAACCAACTAAATGAGCTGAAATTAAGACGAAGGTAAAAAAATATGTTTGTGCAGGCTATTAGGAGACCGCATCCGGAGCCAAAACGAAAGGATTCATTTGATAATCGAAACATTAACTCGAAGTTTTTGTATTTTTTTCATGAACCCCGTAATGTACTTCAAACCCTCTACAATTGCGGCGTAATAAACATAAATTTGATTTTTTTTTCTAAGGTTTCGTACTCAGCTTACGGTGAGGTGGTTAAAAATAAAAGGATATCGCAGAGATACTGATTGCATCATTATACTGATGAACCCCGTAATGTATTTGAAACCCTACAATCAAATTCGTCGAGTTAAAATTGTGTTACATTGCGCCGTAATAAACATAAATATTAATGTTTTTTCTAAGGTTTTTTTTCGTGTTCAGCTTACGATGGGGTGGTTAAAAATAAAAGGATATCATCGCAGTGATACTGGTTCCATCATCATACCGAAGCGTTTCAAACAAACCCAGACTTACCTTCGGGAGACTGAGCATTGGAACCCTCTGGAATATGTGGCATCCGTACTGAAGAACCGGTAGGTAAGTCTCGAAAACTTGGTACAGTTTCTCGGCGAGCCGTTTCTGGTCTTCCATCTGCTGGGCCAAGCACTGCAGGTCGCCGTGGTACACTTTGATCATCGAGGTCAGGAGGTTGGCGCGATTCTTCAACACCCAATCTGGGATGTTTCGGTCGCTGCCTATCGCCTGCCAGAAACATTAGTTTGAGTACCGATTTATCTTTAAAATCCACAGTCTTTTGTTGAGAATACGAAGTGTAATTATCACTTAAAATTTATTACTGTAATAATAATCAGTATTTTTTGTATAGCAGTCAAAGTGCAGCCATGATTAATGCTTAACAGATCTATCCAGACATAAAAATAACTAGCCGTACTCGCCCGCTTCGCTGGACATTTAAAATTAATATTATTATTTATTGTCATTATTACTGGGGAGTCCAACACTCATATAAATATTAGCCTATCCATTAAGTACATGCATTTTCTACATGGATACCAAGTTTCAAGTCAATCGGATGCATGGTTCAGTAGTTATAACGGAACATCCGTAAAAACCACTGTAGATTTATTTATTAGTATAGATTAATGAGGTATAACTGCGGTCGACAACTCGCAATGAGACGAGGCCGCTTCGTTCAATCTATAGTAGTTTTTACGGATGTTCTATTATAACTACTGAACCGTGCATCCGATTGACTTGAAACTTGGTATCCATGTAGAAAATGCATGTACTTAATGGATAGACTAATATATATGAGTGTTGGACACCCTACACCAGTTGCAGGGGCGTTAATGATGAGAATATTTGTGGGGGTGAAAAATAATAATTTTAATTTTAAATTCCCAGCGAAGCGGACGGGTACACCTAGTAAATTATAAAACTATTTCTATGAACTCACCAATACGTATCTTCCGTATTCTCTGATGATGAACTTTCCGCTCTGCAGGGTGATTGAAACCGGCGGAGATAGCAACGTTTTGACGCAATGAGCTGCTCCGACCACCTTAAGAAATATAGTTTTTATGAAACACTAATATTATAAGATGATCTCTATAATCTCTTTGAAGTCATCGTGGCCTAAAGGATAAGACGTCCGGCGCATTCGTGTTGAGCGATGCACCGGTGTTCAAATCCCAGGCGGGCACCAATTTTTCTAATGAAATACGTACTCAACAAATGTTGACGTTTGACTTCCACTGTTAACAACATCGTGTAATAAAAATCAAACCCGCGAAATTCTAATTTGCGTAATTACTGGTGGTAGAGCTTCTGAGTCCGTGCGGGTGGGTACCACCACCACCGTGACTATTTCTGACGTGAAGCAGTAATTGCGTTTCGGTTTGAAGGGTGGGGCAGCCGTTGTAACTATACTGAGACCTTAGAACTTATATCTCAAGATGGGTAGCGCATTAACGTCGTAGATGTCTATGGGCTCCAGTAACCTCTTAACACCAGGTAGGCTGTGAGATCGTCCACCTATCTAAGCAATTAAAAATAAACTAATAATTGAGCAGATCTAGACGATTCTAGAGATAGTTAGTTATATGATCAATAGAAATGACATCAACTAGTCTCCAGCGAATCGATCCAACGAAACTGGTTAATTAAATCGTGAATAACTTTAATGTGATAATCAATTGAAGCTTCTAGATTCATTTCGATCAAATCGATTAGTAATCGCCCAAAAATACATTTTAATTGCATTATACGAAAACATTTAAATTATATTAAAAGATTCGTTATTTATTTATACATTTTTGTGCGCAGGTAAAAACTAAAGATAGCCCGGGTCGTTTATTTATGGCATCGCATTCGGTACTAATAAATGTTTAATTCAATTTTGTATGTTGTTTTTAGTTTTTGCATAGAGATGCAAACGAGTCGATGATATTTGTGGAAAATTCGAATAAGATTGTGTTACTAATCCAAATTTAATAATTCTAAATGCATCGTGTTTTTTTTTATTGGCAACTTTAGTCTTCTTTGTTTTAATAACAGTGAGATTTTAAAGAATTCGAATTTCCTGTTACGGAAATGTAATAACATGTAAGAGCGTATGACGCTTAGACGTACTTGGTCAATTGAATTCCGCTTTTATGATCCGTGTAGGAAAGTACAAATTAAACTGAGTTTACAAACGTGTAGAGACGATCCACATCATAATAACGATATCGTTTCTTCATCATAATTTCTTTAAGATTGTCAAATCACGCAACAACACATTTCATAATATCCATACAGTGGACTGCATATAGAAGTTGTTTATATTCATATATGATGTAACTTTAGAACATTCTATATTGTTAGACAAAATACGTTACCAGATTTTCTAGATAGGCAACGTTTTCTGGAACCTTTTCATACAATTTATTCTTTAAAACACTTTTTTTGAGCAAAGTCGCTTTCTCTGTCCCTATATCCCTATGTATGCTTAAATCTTTAAAACTACGCAACGGATTTTGATGCGGTTTTTTTTAATAGATAGAGTGATTGAAGAGGAAGGTTTATATGTATAATAACATCCATTAAATAGTGGAGAAATCAATAGTAAACTACAGTTTCCGAAGCGAAGCGAGGGCGGGTCGCTAGTTTAAGTAATAAACGAGCCATAGTCCATTAGATAAAGAAATTACGTACTGGCGAAATATATTGGAACGTAATTTGTTTAGTCTCTTAAGCTGTTTTTCTATGCGATTCTAGAACATGTAAAAGTGAAAATAAATTCGCCAACGATTAAAATGTATCTATCGGTTATCGTGACTTTGATCAACTCGAGTGGTTTAAATGTTGAATTTTATTACATTTAACTTGTAAACACCTAAAAGCTTAACACATTCTAGTCATATGACATTTCGGTAAGATAAGTTTCGACTTTATTGATATTTAAGCAGGCAAAAAAGAAGCTATTTATGTATCGCGTTGTCCTTCTAATTTAAAATTTTTAGTATTTATTTTCGGTTTCAATGTGACATTGCTTTAGCGAATCGTAAACGAAGGCAAAAACTTCTGATTCATTATAGGATATTATATTATTTATAGGACAATTATCCAGAACGAATATTGACGTGATAATTATGGTTCAACGTTATCACGCATTCCTCTCGTGAAGGATTCGTGGCTGGGCCATTTGTACACATATCAAATTGTCTAAAATCTTCCGTTGCAATTTGAAAATAGTTCAAAATACATCCACAATGTTTAAAGGTTGACAGGACGGGTGATGTTAATGTTTATTACGGTTCAATGTTTTGTTATCGTCGAAGAGCAAGCAGTGCTTCGCAGAATCTACCACCGGATCGGAAACGCGACCCACTGAGAAGATCCGGCGAGAAACTCGGTGGGCTGTCTCTATGGGTTAATTCACTCATCGAGCCCTTCGTCGCATGCAACGGGTTGGACGAGGACGGTGACCGGTGCTTGTGGTACCTGAAAGCACCGTTAATGGATCGGGAGGATCCGTAATGACGTGGGTCTAGACACTGCCAGAAGCTTAACGTATCGGTCGCCAAGTTCGCATTACAAATAGAGACAGTTGCTGGACCATAACGGACTTACAATATACCTATGCGCTTATGAAATACCTATTCTTTACAAACTGCGCAGTTGATCGAATGAAACGCGTTTTGATATCGTGTCGGATACCTACGTTCTGTTTGATAAAAGATAAATAAAGGAAATAACAAACAAAAAACGACCCGTTTTAGTCCCAAAACATTTCGTATGGTAATTTCAAGAAAACATCTATACGATTCAAGTCTATTTTTAGAAGACACCAAATGTATTTTTGCCCGCCAAATGTTTATTTCGATTGTCAATTAACCGTATTATGTATGTATGTGTTTACAATATAAATAATTTGCATTTACATATTAAGTGACAGTTACGAGGAGATGCAGCATTGACATTTTGGTTTTGCAGACGTTTTTTTATTTGTTTATCACGGAGTTTCTGTCGAAACTGTCTGGTCTAGTGGATTGGCCACGTGAGTGCAAAATGTTTGCGAGGATTTCTTGGCGGTATGTAGCGATACCCGTGTGCTTAGTGCGAGTTTTTTAACGTTTTCGATTTGTATGGAGTTGGAACGTTTGCCGCTAGGAACGCTGTTCTAACTGCATATAAATTTTGGCAAGGAGTTCTTGGCGGTATGTAGCGATACCTGTGTGCTTAGTACCAGTTTTTTAACGTTCTCGATGGCGTAAAAGTTAACTGAGATTTGTATGGAGTTGGCACGTTTGCCTACGTTTGCCGCTAGGGGCGCTGTTCCGACTGCATACAAATTTAAGTTAACTCTTTCGCTATCGAGAACGTTAAAAAACTCGCACTAAGCGCACGGTAATTTTGGGACGGTAATTCTTAACGATCAGATTTGTGACAAGCATCTTGCATGTCAATTAAAATGCTAGCCTTTATAGCCTTTTTTGTAGACAGTGAAAATAATCATAGCGGACACGAGTGCGATTGGAGTTGTGTGTATCTATTTTAATCCTGAACTTTCACAAACACTGGTTGTGGCCACAGCCGGAGCCTTCGGTAAGGCTACATCGTTGCGCCAAAACTAGTTTGTATACAAAATAGGTTTCTTATTGTATTATATTAATTTCGTTGTTTCTAAATCGTGCTTCGCGATTTTTCTAAAAAACCAGTTTCGAGAAGTAGAAAGATAATTAATTCTAAAAATGTTTGGTCTCATATTTGCTCCAATCGATTCGTGTCGGAAGGTTTTTTTTTTTTCAATTATTTTGATAGTCATAGTCGGGTGCCGGCATGAGTCATTTCCTATTAACGAAATTATTGTAATTTTATATTACTGATTCTAGCGTACAAAAATATATTCGATATAATTTTTTGCTTAGCACTTGCACGTGTAATTAAAATTATGTGTTTTCCTCAGTGTATTTTAGTTTTAATTTGTCTGTTCACGAAAATTAAAGTTGCTTTCAGACTACGCTATACTATAGTGCCATATAGTACTTATAGCAGCGTTACTGTATGAACGTGACCATAACAATGTATGGTGCGCGATATTATTGTGCTATGAACTATATACTATATGTTATTATATTATAGCGTAGTCTGAAAGCAGCTTTACTCACTAAAACGATTTCTATTTTTCATTAATAGTCTAGCAATTGAATATTGATTATATCAAAATTGCAACTCGATAAAAGGAACGTCTCTTGATCTTATTTACTGGCGAGATTAACACGAATTCTCGATCATCTAGACCTGATGACTCTCGGTTCTCTTACCGAAAATTAAGACAGTTAACAGTGGATCGATAGTTCTCGAAGTTGGCAAGCTTTAGAAAACTCGGATGAATCAATGCAACTTCATTACAAGTGACGTCATTTGAGGCCAATATAAACTAGTAGTCAACCGTAGATATGCTCAATGCTTAACGATATACGAAACTATATGTTGCGTAAAAGAAAAAGCTAGACATGACCAAAAACACATGTTAATATGTTTTGAATAATATGGTTTTAAGAGGTAACAAATTATTTGATATTCTAACATTCAAAGAAGTAAGATTACCAATTGTTTAGTCTGTATTGATATGTTGTTAATAGTTTAGGGTAGTGTTTAAGTTTGCCTAGAGTAGAAGCTAGTAACATAATAAATAATATTACATGAAGACTTTTCAACATCACATATCAAGTTCTTGCAGTTTTATTTATAGATGCACTTTGATATGTTTTATTTATATTTGCGGTATAAGATTGTAGAATATAATTCGTGTTTATCATTATCTAAAAGGCAAATATGTAAAGTGGCATTTATTTTTAAAAGAACATTAAGTGATTTAACATTATGTAGTTTTGTTAATAATTCTGTACATTTGTAAGTGTGTGTGTTTGACATTTTTATACTGTTTTTTTATACTGTGCAAATAGATTCATTTGTGTTAATAGTCTTTAATTCTTATCGAAATTATATCTCAAGCTAAAATCTTTTACTCTGCCCACTGAAATAGACAACATTTGAGTAGTTAAAAACTACTTTTTGGTTTTAGTCAGGTTTACGGTTGAACTTGAACTTACTTTTTGGTATGTTACGGTTAAAGTCTTATTAGAAAGTTTGATGGCACTTAACAGCTTATTCAAATGGTGATGAATAACACCTTAATCGGCCCTGATCATGAGAAGTGTAAGCTATTCAAAATGAAGGAAATAATGAAATTATGAAAATTATAACCAATCCATAAATGAGTCGACTATTATCAAAGCCGGCAATGTGACTTTTGTACAATTATTGGTAAATCAGAAAAACGAATTATTGACTTTGTATTCCATTGGCAGTCACAAAACTCTTCTAAACGACATCTTAGATAAATAGCAGGTTAAGTATTAACCTTTATTTAATGCAGGTTTTGAACCGTATTCTTTGAAGGAGACTATTATATTCAAATCAATCTATATCGCCATATCAATAACATTTTTTTGTCCAAATACACAGATTGCCACCTTTGATAATAGAAGACTCAAATGTAGTTTTAATTTAGTCAACTTTTTTTTTTAGAGATTTTAACGAAAATCTGTCTTACCTGTCCTGCTAGAGCATGTCTTTGAGTGTCAGACACCCATCCTGGGTGGAAATACAGCACAGCATTTATGGGATCATCCTCTTCAGCTGTACAACATTGTGTGTCGTACACAAATACTATCATCATTTCCCTGTAGACAAGAGAGATTTCATAAAGTTTTTGTTTTCAGTTTTCTTTATTTTTATTACTTTTATTATGAAGTTTTTTTTTATTTTTTATTGCTTAGATGGGTGGACGAGCTCACAGCCCACCTGGTGTTAAGTGGTTACTGGAGCCCATAGATATCTACAACGTAAATGTGCCACCCACCTTGAGATATAAGTTCTAAGGTCTCAGTATTGTTACAACAGCTGCTCCACCCTTCAAACCGAAACGCATTACTGCTTCACGGCAGAAATAGGCTGGGCGGTGGTACCTACCCGTGCGGACTCACAAGAGGTCCTACCACCAGTGATAAGTACCCAACTTGGGACATGACATTAAAATCTCGATGATATTCTACAATGAGCCTTATAACTCATTCTTCAAAATAAGATGAGCCATATGGGAGTAGGCAGCATTTTGTCTGTGCTCCTGTCATTGCCAATATTCAGTGACCACTCACCATCTTGAAGGGAATCGAGCATCTTATTTGTCTGCTTTTATAGGAAATAATAAAAAAATGTGGGTTTCCAATACAGAACATACATAATACAACATACAACCAAATTTATAAGAAATAGATCCATAAAAAAGTATTTTTTTGATTAAACACAATGTTATGGAACAACGGTTCATAAAATTCCTAGATATATGCCTAGATTTTGTGTAAATGAGAATCAGGGATTATTAAATAGATTTTTGTCGCTGACATTCATTAACCAAAGTTAATTTGAAGCATGTTTTAAATTATAAATCTATTAACTAAAATAGTTTTGAACAAATTAACATTTAAGATGACATACTTTTGTGGTAACTAAAAAGTGGTAAATAAAACAACTATTATTGTAAACGAATCATATTAATTAGAATTATGAAAAAATAAATTCCTTTTCTAAAGTGGTCACATTACAACGTACTTGAGTTTATTGAATAGCTTAAATTAATTTATTGGTTACAATTTAACTCATTCAGCGTTGCAGGTTCATAGCCGACTTACTTAGAACATAGAATGGTTTTACGAAACCGTTTTCGAAGCGATTACAACACATTAATCAGCTTAGAATCGTGATAATATTAAATGTACTTACTTTGCCATTTTGTTGACTTTTTTATTAATTAATGCACTGGTAAAATGTATTTCACTGCATTTCTACCGTCTTTATTCAAATAGAACGCGCGCAGTTTATTAATATTACGTTTCAAGTGTATTATGTTTCACTTAATCGGTACAAAAATTCGATACGCGACCGAACTGTTCGTGCTTAACTTGACGTGTGTTTTTATTTTCGGTTTTGCGTGTTCTTTAAGGCTGTGTGTTTTGTGATAATCTATGGTTTCGTCAAAGTGAACGGCGCGGCACAGTGTGAGATACTCTATGATGCTCTATGATCTTTTTTTAGGATGGTAGCACTGTCAATTAATTGAAACTGATGTCACAAGATGGCGCCATTTCTGTTGAATTATAGATGCATACGAGTTTGCTTGTAATGGAATTGGTAGTAAAGGGTCTAGATTCTTCTCTGTACTCATAGATGCCGCTACAGTAACACTGAAGATTTTCATTTGATTTGATATTTACTCCATCTTTGAGTTTTGGAAATTGGAAGTTATAAATTGTATAACAATACCATGAAGATCATTTAAGTAGTAATCGTTAACAAAGAAAAATTTAAACTGTCTAATAAAAATTTTAAAAGTCAAAACGCTGTGAGGCACTTTTATAAAGTTAAATCGTTCCTAGCCGAATGTAATTAGACGTGATTAATAGTTAGTCGCAATTTAACTTCACCACAATGTGCCTTTTCGAATTAAAACTTTCTATATTCACTCTTAAGACAAGAACCTATTTATTTCATTCTTTTTAAACGACCAGTATGTAGTTAATTGAATTTTTACTCGCTTTAGTTTTACGAAATCTTCTAAGTGTCTGGAATTTAATTAAAGGGGAAAGGTGAAGTCATTCATCTGCGATTTTTTCATTCACTACCTACCCTATACTACTATACTTGTATATATTAGAATTTACACAGCTAATAAGACACTATTGATACATGCTAAACTAGTCTAGATTGATTAAATAAAATTTAACTAAAGTAGGTATGTACTCAACATGACACTTCACGTTCCCGCCAATCAGCCCCGATGATGGTGTCACAATGTTCTTTTTGCCAGACTACATAGGCTCAGCACAAATTATCTTAGCTTAGATCACAGATCATAGAAACAAAGAAACTGTGTTTCTATGATCTGTGGCTTAGATATTTTATTGAAGTTTTTATCAAAGAGTACCTAATTACTTAGAAATTAATTTCATATTTCTCACAAGCCCAGTGAACAACTGGTGGTAGGACCTCTTGTGAGTCCGCACGGGTAGGTACCACCGCCTTGCCTATTTCTGCCGTGAAGCAGTAATGCGTTTCGGTTTGAAGGGTAGGACAGCCGTTGTAACTATACTGAGATCTTAGAACTTATATCTCAAGGTGGGTGGCGCATTTACGTTGTAAATGTCCATGGGCTCCAGTAACCACTTAACACCAGGTGGGCTGTGAGCTCGTTCACCCATCTAAGCAATAAAAAAAAATAGTAAGGTATGTATATATTTTACAAGTTACCGTTGAAATAATCACGAAACCGCTAGACACGTTTTTCGTGTTTTAGATTAGTAAATTCAACGAAAGTTCACTATTAAGTACAGCGTTGGTCAAGTATAATTTTGTAATTCTTCAAGTACATATTAGACGAATGATAATTGAGTAAACTAGTAGGTCATTTTACGGACATATTTGATGTCGAATTTTTTTTTGCCTACTGACTGCCAGTCGCCTCGAGAGGCTATTCTTCAACAAGTGTTTAATAAACAAAACTCTATTCTTTTGTGATTGTTGTCAATATCCTAATCCCTAAATACGTACGTTTTTTTTTTTATTATTATGGCTGTACGAGCTCACAGCCCACCTGGTGTTAAGTGGTTACTGGAGCCCATAGACATCTACAACGTAAATGCGGCACCCTCCTTGAGATATAAGTTCTAAGGTCTCAGTATAGTTACAATGGTTGCCCAGCCCTTCAAGCCGAAACGCATTACTGTTTCACGGCAAAAATAGGCAGGTATAAATAAGTAGGCATAGTATGTATAGTATAGTATCTATTACGTGTATACACGTATTATAAGCATAGTATTTTGCAGTAATTGCGAAGGGTACACTGCTTTTTGATTAAAGGATTTTTAGAATAAGATACCGGATGGCTTGGAGTCTTTCCCGCTTAAGCAGGGTGGGGAGGATTGCTAACAGCAGTCGAAATATGTCCAAACGAGCTTGTTATAGCTCTTTTTACTTACAGCTTAAGGGCAGAGGCTTTGCGATTGCATCTTCCACCGGATCGAAAGTGCGACCCGTTGAGAAGATCCTGCGAGAAACTCAGAGGGCTAATGTTGGCCTGTCGAATGATAAATAGCTCATATTATTGTAATATCTTTAGAAACTGTTTTTTTTATATGATACCTAATTATACAAACAGAAAATTGTAAGTATCATAGTTTCTTGGTAGCAATCCGGGACGTCGGCGCATTTTACGAAATGATATTAAATGGCGACAGTGTCGTCCGGTTCTTCGTAAAACGGAATGGTACTTCCGATCAATCACAGGAAGTGAGATGAAAACGTTTGCTTTGAATCCTTAATTAGTAAATTATGTTGAACAATAAAAAAAAAGTGTGTGTGTCCGCTCCGACGCACGACTGGAGTTTACTGGATATAAAAAATTAAACGAAACAATACGAGAAATAGTTCTATATTACGACAACACGATACACTACAGATTATTAACAAATTAACGAGACACAAAACAAACGACTAACAAATATATGAAAATACAATAATGAGAGAAACGCGCGATCNTAGTATATTCTTAGTGGGACGTATTTTGAGTAAAATAAATATGTATTATTATTATTGAATTATTATCATTGAATTAAAGTGAAGGTATAATATAAAGGGACATGTAGACCTCTAATTTACGGGTATTTACTATATTGTCTAAGACGTATTAAAATCTAAGTAAAATGCTATTTGACTTATGCAGTAAATTAAAAATTTTAGGTTTCCAAAAGAACCTAACGCCAGGGAACAATGGATTGACGTGACAGGTAGAGGAAACTGGAGACAAAGACGAGAACTATTTGCTCTAAACATTTTACTGAAAATGATTTTATCATAAAAAAAATCAGAATACACTTAGTTTTGAAAAATTCATTCGCAATTAATAGCAAGCGCCAACTGCTTAACAAATACGTTTTATTTCAGCGACAGTGACTATTTGTAATTAATAAAAGTAAAATAGTTTTTTTTTTCAATATTTATTTCATGTTTCATTTTCTCCATTCATTCATCAGATAATTTATCGATAAAGAATATCGATTTTATCAAGCACTAGCGTGTATGAACATTTTTATTGCTTTTTTGTGTGTGTGAGTGTGTATGCCTACGGGTGTTTTGTGCTAGTTTACGAATATCTGTCCTGAGATTTATGTGTGGGTGTTTTTGTTGTGTGCGAAATACTTGTAATCACAGTGTGTGTATGTGTAGAAATTAAAATAGTGGGGATGAAGCGGCGACACTGGTTCTAATACAAAATGAGAGCAAAGGCCTTTCCAACCTTATTTATCTATTCCGTGGTTACAACGGCTACCCCACCCTTCGAACCGAAACGCATTACTGCTTCACGGCGGAAATAGGCGGGGTGGTGGTACCTACCCGTGCGGACTCACAAGAGGTCCTACCACCAGTGATAAAACGTATATAACGTATAAAAAAGATCACAGGAAGAGGAAGGGTTTCAAATTTACCTTGAAATATTTGACGTAACAAAACATATGTATATACAAACTTTGAAAATTAAATCCTCCTTGCGTTGATAATCCTCAATGCTGAGGGTCGTGGCCTAATGAGGCTTTCTTGGGAAAATACACATGGCAGGGTCCCGCGTTCTTCCACGGCAGAGCTTTTGGAAGAGATTTAGTTCTTCGTGGCCGCTGAAGTCTTATTTGGGTCCAGATAATTTACCGCCGCCCGATATTCGGCGTTGACTGTTTTACGGTGGAAAGGTCGAACTCCAACTCAACCCTCCTCTTTTCTCATCCGGGCCTGGGACCGGCATCTGCAGAGTTAGAAAGTTAAATAAACCATGTCAAAAACCCTTGTAAAACCTTGTAAAAATTACTTTGGACATGGTAATATTTTTTAAAAAGCATAATTACCAATAGTGAGGGAAAGAGAGAGAGAGATAGAATATGCTTTTTTGCAACCAACAGGCAGCTACAATTGTACAATAGGCAAAGGTTCATTAATTATGTTTACAAATAGTATCTTAGTGTTCACAAACCATTTCCACGAAGAAGGAACCACATATTATATTAAAACGTGTCATTACTGGTAGTAAGGCGAGGTGGCAGGATGCGGTTTTTCTGTCGCGAAACCGTAATGTTTTCCCGTTTGAATGGTGGGGCAATCGTTGTATAATACTCAAGTCTCAGGATGGCACGGGGAAAGTTCTTGTTTATGTCCATCGGCTCCCGTAACTTAGTATAATACAACCGCCCGTAAAAATTATGAATTAGAAATAAGTAATTTTTAAATTAGTAATAAGAAAATTAGTCGTAGCACCACGTATCGTGAATAGAAATCATGCTATCACTTAATAGCAAAGGGTAATAAACGCCTTCCGATCAAAAACAAAGTGCCAAGTTTTGTTCAAAATTGTTAGATCGCTCTATAGCTTGTTTGTCTACTGTCACTGAATCCGTACCAAGTAAGGGTTCGATATTCTCTTTGTCCTGAGTCGCATTTCGACGCATTGTACAGAATTTTAATGCAACGAAAGTGATCGCTATGAATTACTATTATTGAAGAAATCCATTTGTTTGTTTAAATGCATTTAAGAAATGCTAGTTTGTCAATTTCTTCACTTGTTTTAAAGTGTTGAACCGAAAGGTTATTGGGAATCTACGTGCGAGTCTACGAAATCTACGAATGAGACAATCGGATCGGAATCGCGACCCGCTGAAAAGATCGAAGACGAGTACAGTTAACGGGGTCCCTAACCCTGCCCTGTTTATGGATCTGATGGATCCCTCAGGATATATCTATGGCGTCTACGGTGACTGGCTACTACGCGCTAAATTAGCCGTTGTAACTATACTGAGACCTTAGAACTTATGTCTCAAGGTGGGTGGCGCATTTACGTTGTAGTTGTCTATGGGCTC